TAAAGCAAGCTGCCTCCCTTCACTCCTTCCAAGGCATCAAAATTAGCAAAAACTCTCCAGTTATCACCCACCTATTTTTTGCAAACGACTCTATTGTTTTTTGTAAAGCAGATTCCTCTCATGCCATTTTGACATCTAATATTCTTAGGCTTTATGGTTTGGATTCTGGACAAATCCTCAGTTTTTTTCTCTAAAAATACTCCTTCCTCCGTGATAACCGAGATCAGTTCTATTTTGTGTGGAATCTCAGTGGTCAAATCTTCTAGATATCTAGGTCTGCCACTTGGCATAGGTAGTTCTAAAAAAGAAGCTTTCAGTTTTGTTGTTAATAATAGTGTTAGTAGACTTAATTCTTGGAAAAATGTTTTTCTCAGTGACTCGGGGAAAGAAATCTTACTAAAAACTGTGATAAGTGCGCTCCCCACTTTTGTTATGACCTGCTTCACTCTTCCTATATGTGTGTGTAAAGAAATATGTAGATTTTCAGCTGCATTTTGGTGGGGCTATAAAGAAGATGGAAATCAGAAGATTCACTGGGCCTCCTGGAGTAAACTCACTCTGCCCAAGGAAGAAGGCGGTCTAGGATTCAAATGCCTCATTTCTTTCAATGAAGCTCTTATTTCAAAACAACTTTGAAGGATTCTAAGTCAGCCCGACTTATTGCTGAGCAAGGTCCTAAAAGGCAAATATTTCCACAATTGCACTCTATGGGAGGTGAAACACAAAACATCAGATTCTTGGATGTGGAGCTCCTGGTTGAAAGCAAGAGCACACCTCAGAGAAGGAGCCCTGATTTCTATAGGCAATGGGAAAGATACCTCAATCTGGAATGACCCTTGGCTTGCAGGCAGTAAAAATCTATCTCATTCAGTTTCTTTTGCATCTGAAATGGAAAAGCTTAATAAGGTCAGTGAGCTCATATCTCAGGATGGAACACATTGGAATTCTGACCTAATTACTCAAACATTTAAACCAGAAGAAGCCAAGCTTATATTAGACGTCCCTCTAAAAATACATGGCCAGAGAGACTCCATCAGATGGAAACACCATAAACAGGGTGTGTTCACAGTCAAGTCTGCATACTCACTTATTCTTAATTCTAAATTATCAAAAAAACCAGTCGCCTGAATCAAGCAGAAGCAAAAAGATGCAGTCCAGAGTCTGGAAAACAACCTGGGGTCTGAAAATAAAAAGCAAGCTGAAATTGTTCATATGGAAGTGTTGGTTTAACTACTTAGGCACTCAAGACCAACTTCTCAAGAAAGGGATGCAGGTAGATCCGATTTGCGGGGTCTGTGGAAATGCTGAAGAAACACTGGAGCATCTATTCTTCATTTGTCAAAGAGCTGTCACAGTATGGAAGCTTGCAGGGATTGAATGGGAAGGAGTTCACTGCTCCACACTATCATTTAAATCTTGGTGGAGCAATATCTGTACAATGAGAAAGGGACTTAGCTTCCATGATAGAATACACTACTCCACATATATTCTTTGGAGATTGTGGAAAGTGAGGAACCTATGGATCTTTGATAAAAGCTGGAAATCAGAAGCTGAAATTGCTCTCATGGCTTGGAGGGATTGGAGAGAATTTGAAACAGTGTTCAATTGCGATGTTTAATATCTAGCTCTAATATTGCTTTCTGTCTATTTTGGCTTTTTGGAATTTAATGGGAGACAGAGGATGCAGCAACCTTGCTAGGGACTTGAGCTAGTTCAGTGGTAAGGAAGTAGCTTGGAATTTGTTCTTTAGATCTCTCAAGAATACTTATTAGTTCTGCCATCTTGTAATTTTCTGCTATGTTTGTTCTCTTGATTTCTAGATCTTTCGTTTCTTTCTGTCTTGTTTAGTCCCTACTATAGTGTGTTTGTGTTTATTGGTAGGAAGTTTGTTTCTGTTCTTTCTGTTTGCCTTGGGGATTCTCCCTTTTGTAACTTAGCTACAAATGGATAGCGAAGGTATGCATCATTTGGTGCGCCCAGTTGTAATATTTTCCGAGTGGCTATAATATTTATTTCGTTTCGAAAAAAAAAAGGACTTGGACATTGGATTTTAGAAAAGAAAATTCTAATTGTTTGGTGGATTTCGATCCAACTTAAAACAATAATAAAATAAGCTTTTTTTTATAGAGTTATTGAATGTCACTGACTTATAAAATTAATTGGACAAATGTCAAAATACATCAAATTAAATTTGTGGCTGAATAATGCATCTCTACAATAAATTTGATTTACATTATAGTTATAGATGGACCATGTTGTTAAGTTGTTTTAGTTCTAGCCTTCTAGGTTACAAAACTGTAATAAAATGAGAATTTTATTTGTAAGGGCATCTACATCCCTTAACATTCATTCAATTACAATTTACACTATCTCTCATCCACATCATCTCTGCATCATCTTCCCACTAAGAGCATCTCTATTTATATTTTTGTGCAATCATTTTACTCTTATTATATTTTTATTGGTTGTTAGGTATTCTAGATCTAGTATTTTTTTTGCATTTGATAGATTTTGAATTTTTTAGCTTGTGTTTGCCCATGTCATTATAAACTTAAATCTATTTATTTGCCACATATGCAAAAAGAGACTCAAAACATTGTCTTTAAAAAAAATCACATGTCATGTAGGAAATAGACATAGTATATAAAAAAGTGTTTCACAATGCAATTAAAAGTGGACCTAGTCTAACTTATGTGGCAATAAAAAAAGAGACTAAGTTCACCCTTGGGTCTATTTTGGACCCAAGTGTAAACCTTACAATAGCAATCATTTACTATTATTATATTTTTATTGGTTGTTAGATATTCTAGACTTAATACTTTTTCTTTTGCATTGGATAGATTTTGTATTTTTTAGCTTGGGTTTGTCCATGTACTTTATAGACTTAGGTATTCTAGACCTAGTACTTAATTGTTGAATAATTAAATTTAAGTTATTAATAAAAATCCATAAATAAAATAACATATAAAAAATACTTAAAAGAAAATTAAGAATTTTTTTTCATCGACCATTAACTTGTATTCACAATTATGTAAATCAAGAAATAAAAATAAAAGAATATATAGTCCATATTTGTCCATGAATGAAATACGAAAAAAAAAATGGATGAAAGAAAATTAATTGGGAGACATGGGACATATGTGTGGGCCCTTATTAAAAGTTTGTGGGAGGTTTACATATCCAAACCAGGTTTAAACATTCAAACCTCAAACCTATAGCAAATAATAGATAAACCTTGAGGTTTACATTTTCAAACCTCACCTCAAACCTCTATTAAAGATGCTCTAAACATCTCTCCATTTAAATACACACCCATATTCAATCATTCATTTAAATACAAATATATGGGACCTATTATCTACTCATTTAATATTATTTTTATATTCTATTCTTAATGAAAATAAATGTAATTTTAATTATAACACTTAATTTTAATGCTGAAAATACACTAAATATTTTAGAAGAATGAAATTTCATTTGAATTGCTAGGATTAGAACTTGAGAAATTTAAAAAAAAAAAATTAACTATTCGGATCTATTTTTTTATACGCAAATGAGCAGTTGCTAAATTTTTTGGTGTAAGAAGATTGTGAAACCGAAATATATTTATAGGCATAAAAATAATGAGGGATAGAAAATGTAAATTATTGATACATTTTGAGAGGTGTGATATAGACAAAATTTGAATTAAATATATAAGAAAATAAAAAGGATTAATTAAATAATAAAATAAAAAAAAATAAAAAAGAAAAGGATTAATTAAATAATAAAATGAAAACAAAAATAAAAAAAGCAAAATAAAGTGGCAGCAAATGCCGTTCATAAAGCTTGAACGGGAGCATGGCCCCCCAAATAATGGATGCCTTGCATCCGTGTTAAACGAGGGGCCCCTTTAAACACCACATTAACTGTCCAATGCAGATGCTCTAAGGTTGACGGAAGGAAATCAGGAATCCATTGACCGCAATGAATACAATTGCCAATTAATCAAGCTCGAGACAGCATAATAGAAATTGAAAAGAGCAAAGAAAGTTAATTAATTTTTGAATAAATTTCAAGAATTAGATATTTTTTTGGTATATCCTTGGAAATACTTATTGGGTAAAGAAAAACATGGCCAAGAAAACCAAATTTGACATATTTCTTAAAGCACGAAGTTAAATTTGATAGATTGGCTCGAATTTGCCCATGTGGTCAAATAGGCACAAACCATTACACTTTTAATCCATTGTTAATTTAATTATATTAAGTATTAAATAAAATGTGAATTTAATAACATGAAAATAAAATAAAATTAATATAAGTTATGTATGTCTGTCATTTTGTTATTCGTCTCTCTATATTATTATTTTTATTTTTCGGTTGGTCGTTTTTTGAATTGCGTACATATTTGTTTGTGACCAAATTTTCAATTTCCAATTCATCATTACATATTGAATTTATACATTAGTGTCACGCTTGAAATCAAAATTGTCTTGAAATACTAATGTAAACCATGACTTATGACCATCTAATATCTTTGTGATGTGACTATTAGACAAATCATTCAACATATATATAATGACATTGGTTTGAAATAAAACTTGATTTTTAAAAAATCTTTGGTCTAATTAGTCAGTATATATTATCATTCTATGTAAATATATAATTAGATTTGAAATCACATACAATAAATAATTATCACACTAGCTAAATTAATAACAAGAATTATTCGGTCTAATACTCAAACTAGCTAAGGAGGGTTGAAAAAGATTGATCAACGAGCCTTGGCTCAGAGTCACCGCAACGCCAGAACTTGTCTCCTTGTGTGAATTGTGATGCAAAAAAGGTCATCAATTATTTTTTTATATTTTTAAAAGATCAGTGTGGAAAAAAGAAGAAAATGAAATTTATTTTAAGCAGAAAAATTTGTCATTCCTACCGATTAGCGTTTTGTTGAAAAAAGAAAAAATCCGTTTTCGGGCTTCATCGTGGACATGAGATAGGACACGGAAAACAGGCTAAATTGCAACGAGCAAGAAGAATAGCAGCTGTTACAAGCAACATAAAAACCAAAACCAAATGTCTTCCACAAAAGAGGAACTCAAATCCAACAACTATCTTTCAACTATGCTCTACCAAAACATCTCTCCCGTAACCCCGCTTGGGGACTACACAAAGTAAGTATTTAATTGGAACTAAAAGAGGTCTGTTAAACAGTATATATATTTCTCATCAACAGATAACGATATCATCATAATAATAATCATCATCATCATCATCACCTGGTTTTCATGAAAGGGAGAAAAAAAAAAATGTGTGTACATATATATTTATGCACTTAGTCCCAAGCACTGGCCGCCCCCGAGTTATTATTATATCCACCGCCATAACCACCATAATAGTCTCCGCCACTCCTTTCCCTTCTAAAGTCACGGCCGCCAAATCTGGCACCTCCTCCCCGCCTGCTCTTTCCTCCGTAAGACGGTCGGCTTGCGAAACGGGTCAACCAGTCTGGCACCTCTTGATTTGCTTCCTTCATCAGCTCAGCCAACGCCTTTGCCAGTGACATGTTGTTCTCGTTGAAGAATGCAGTGGCCAATCCCGTCTTGCCAGCTCGCCCAGTACGTCCTATCCGGTGCACATAATCGTCTATGTCGTTGGGGAGGTCGAAGTTGATGACGTGGGCCACGTGCGGGATGTCAAGCCCGCGGGCCGCCACATCAGTCGCGACTAGGATAGGCGTGTTTCCACTCTTGAAAGATCTCAATGCAAGCTCTCTTTCCTGCATCCACAAATATACAAATGTTATGTGACAATGATGATATGTTATACAAATATTATACTTGTTTTTTACCTGTTGGGATCTATCCCCATGGATAGTAGTAGCAGGAAAACCATTCTGGTATAGCCAATTTTCCAACGAGTCCGCTCCTTTCTTTGTCTCCACAAACACTAAAGTAAGAGCTTGCTGCCAAATCAACAACAATATAACAAGAATCAATAAAAGCAAAAGAGTGAGAAAGTCAATGAACAAAAATATAACAAGAGAAGTTTCAACTCTGGCAATAGATAAATGATAAAAACTTAACTAGAGGCTTGTTACATACTAGAGTACCTAAAACAACTGAGATAATAAGTTCATCACTATAAAATCTTCTAATAACCAATTCACATGGGAATTTTCTTCACCTTAATTCAGATCTCAATTAGACGCACGGGAGTTTACAATTGGACAAAAAGATCCGAGTTATTAGATTCTGTATTATTCATCGCAACATCAACTTACCTTCCCCTGAGCTCCATTTGCCCTCTGAGCATGAAGTAGATCCATCAAATAGCTTCTCTTGTCACCATCCTGAACATATTCAACTCTCTGAACAATTAAGTCTGTACTGGAACCTACCCTTCCGACTGCCAAAAATATGTAATTTGAAAGAAAGTCTGATGCCATTCTCTGCAGGCCAACAGAAAATAAATAAATCAGCAATTACATAGTAGTAAATCTAATTATTATTGCAGCATCAACAAGTAATAGCCATGTCATATCTAGTTCACTATGGATGATATCTGTTTACTCATATATTTCATGCTCCATTCCCTTCCAGAAACTTCTATCACGTTATTTTGTTCTAAAGTTAAAATTCGACCTCTATCACGTTATTTTGTTCTAAAGTTAAAATTCGACCGTAAGAAAATTGCAGTGAGAAGGGGTGCCTTTATTCATGGTGACAAATAAAGCCCCCCTTCCCGCTCCAGACAACAAAAAGAAGTAGAAAAGTGAATTTTTCTTTTCTTTTATCTAAGAAATCTAGAAAAGGTGTACAACAAAGACCTGGATCTCTTTCGGGAAGGTGGCACTAAACAGCATAGTCTGTCTCTCACCACGAGGTGGCATATCCATCTGTTCAACTATCTTTCTGATTTGAGGCTCAAAACCCATATCAAGCATTCTATCAGCCTCGTCAAGAGCCAAATATCTTATCATTTCTAAGGAGACCTTGGCTCTCTCAAGCAAGTCAACCAATCTTCCAGGAGTCGCCACCAGAATGTCAACTCCCCTTTCAAGTTCATGAAGCTACATAAAAATTAATGAAATTAACAATATATAGCCAGCTGTAAGTTTTAGCAGTTATATCTATCACATCAAGGCTACACAGGTTACAGCATATCAACCGAAGAAGAAAATACAGAAATTACCACTAAGCTTTTTGTTAATAAAAATAAAACCCAGAATTCTCAAAAACTACAGAAAAAGCCTAGAAATTTTGACTTTCTGTTACATTTAATCCCACCAGTAGCTGAGCTGGCTGATTTTCAGCTGTTCTCAAATATCATAAAATTGCATTCGTCCAGTTTTCTTTTTGTCGTACATAGACCCAACTTTCCTGTATCCATGGATTTTAGAGAAGTTAAAGGATGGCTTTTAAAAATAAAGGGGAAAAAACTCAGGCTATTTGTAATATTGGAAAAGTTGATGAATGTAATTGTAAAATGTGAAGGCAAGAAGGCAAGAATGTATATATATAGTGGGGGGGGGAGATAACATCAAATCTTATTATATAGTACTAAATCAGCCTTATAGTTGTTCCGATTCGCCATCATCTCCATATAGTCATAAGCTACGGCAGCACCAGCACTTATATACAGGATGCCATCATGATGTCATATAATTCCATATCAAACTTTATACTCATGTAACATGAGTATCTAGTTGTCCGTATCACTTAATAAAATTACACACTTTTGGAAATTTGATCAAAATTGCAATTTTTGGGGACCAAGATTAATCAATACAGTTGATCATGGATATTATGGATTTGATTGATTGCCTGATTCTGTTCCTTTCATTTCAATGCACGTTTATTCTGTTCCTTTTATTCACTTTAAAATTAACATTAGCACCAAAAAACTTACTTGTGACCACATAATAATCCCCGTAAATTTCAACGACTATGCTCATGTGAGAGAAAATATGAATCTAAAGGATGGAAAGAATGAACTCACCAACATATCGCACAAATACAAAAGCTCTAGGAAAAATAGGCCATCAAACAACACATTTCAAAATACATAAATTCTGTAGTCCAAACGCATTGAAAATCAAAATATAAATATTGATTTTTTTTTATGTACATACACCAAACCACTCACATTCCCATGTGATAGCGGGCATCCGGGCATGAATGAATATGTGTATGTTAAGAGAGAGTACATTTCGTATTTAATTATTAATGCGCTGGTACATTTCTACTATGAGAAATGAATGCATGGAGCTCTGAAGCAAGGTTAACCGAAACCCACTCAGGAATTTCAGAGTTCTGGATAAATCCACCGTATAGCCACACCAACTAGGCAACCACATACTCTAACATAAGCCCTTCAAAATGACATCGTGCATTAACACATCACGATCAAATCACAAAATCCAACGAACCATGAAAAATATCAAAAAGAAGTACTAGAATGCCAATACAAACCTGCTGCCTTATAGGTGTTCCTCCATAAACAACAACTACCCTGACACCAGTTTGATAGGCGAACTTTCTAGCTTCATCATGTATCTGCATGCCAAAAAATCAACAAAATCTATCAAAACAAAACAAAACAAATCAGAAACACCCCAGAAAACCACAATACTTACAAACATTTCACTAAATCAAACAGCCCACCTGCATCGACAGTTCTCGAGTCGGTGAAAGAATAAGAGCCAGCGGGTAAACTGTACGAACCCCACGAGGCCTCTGAGGCAAATGACCCTTCATAATCCCGCTGATAATTGGGAAGCAGAAAGCAGCAGTCTTTCCCGACCCAGTCTGAGCACAAGCCATCAAATCCCTTCCTGCCAGCGAAATCGGTATTGCATGCCTCTGTACGGGAGTCGGTTTCACATATTTGCACCTGCGGATATTCAGATTAACTGATTCCACTAAATCAATCTCTGCAAACGTGTTCACAGGTGGTGGCACATTATCCCCGCTAGTCTCCACGGGGATATCCTCGTAAGCATCAAAGTTAATTCCCGTGTTTTCTTGCTCGTTAAAAACTTGTTCGGCATCAGAGTCCACATTGTCATTGCCGAAAGGGTTGACCTCCCTTTCACGACTGCCTCCTCCCCAACTACTTCTACCACCCCCACGGCCACCCTGGCGCCCGTAATCGGTTCTGGAGTTTGCCCATCGCGACCCACCTGTGGGTCCGCTGTAACCAGACCTATCGTTGCCAGGTGTCGTTCCACCGACTGGCAGGTCTGATGCAGGTCTGTTCCTCAGGTGGGGAGGGACATAGGTAGGCTTAGTGGGAGCTGGCGGAAGCTCGGTGTTGCTGCTAGTCCCAGCTTTATCAGAAGATCCAGTAGCTGCATTTTCCACAGCATCTGCCCATGAAGTTCTCATTTTCTCAATAACAAGTTCCTAAAAAAAAATCTGCAATTTGCCAAAGATGGTTACCTTTTTTATATCAGAAGTGGAAAAGAAACAGAAAAAAGCAGAACCCATAACCAGGAGCAAAAAAATAAGACCATTTACCGTGAACCAAACCAATTCAATAACCAAAAAAAAAAAAGAATGGAAGGCAAAATCAACATACAAAACTTTCCACACAAGAAAATCAATGGGATCAGTTGTTAAAATGTAAGTGCAGCGGAAAACCTGACTAGAAAAAGCAAATCCACACTCGTTCAGACTCACCCCAAACAAAAAGATGAATTCCCCAAAAACTTGAGTACTCTACAAATTCTATGAAGGCGTGCAATGTGTGGACGCGAATATACCGTGTGTATGCATGACAATAACACATCTACATCGTGTCTGTGCTTGTATACAGTAGAGAGACCAACCTGAGAGCAAAGATCAGTAAAAAGTCTGTTGGCTTTGGCGAATCTTTTAGGAGAAAGACGGTGAGAAAACATTTATGAAAACCCTAGACCCAGAAAATATAGGAAAGGAACACCAAATCGGACCATAAGCCGAAGTAATAGGATTTCCGATTATTCTTTTTACATTATTATTTTTATTCAAGATGTATTTCTACAACTTTTCAACAAACTGTATTTTTTTCTGTTGCCGATTAATTCATGTGAATTTTGACTTTTAAGTTAAACATTTTTTAAACAATAAAAATCTTAAGTAGTTTAAATTATAAATACTTTTTAGTTATCTATTTTTATAATATAAAGTATTAGCTTAATATTTTTTGTTATTTTTTGTTTGGCAATGTATTGCATATATATTTCTCATTGCTTTCAATCTACATGCATGATACATATACAAATAAAAATGTAATTACATTTGATTTTATATCAACAGTTCTATATGGGGTGTGTATGTGGTTAAGACTAAGACATAGAAGAAACGAGTAATTTAATATATTACATATGAAAAATAAATAATAATAGTTATTTTATTAAATTTAATAAAATTTTTAAAGTGTATTTATAATTTAAGAGAGTTAAGTGTGGTGTGATTTTAAAATTTTCAATCTAAATGTACATCCTAAACTACACAAAAGATAAAAGAAGAAACTTTTGACATATATAATCATAGGATGTCAAAGTAGATTATTAAAATCAGAAAACTGTACACTAACAACTCAATATAATTTAATAAACACATAAACATGATTCTAAACAAAAAAAATTGGCAAGACGATGGTATATATATAAAAACATAATGTATAAGATCCTAAACAAAATATATGGCAAGACTTTGTTGGTGTTATGAAGAATAGTTAATAAATTATTATGCTGTTGGTCAATTTGTTATGACCCGTTATATTTTTATTTAAAATAGGTTATAAATATCATAATTTTGTTTTTTGTGTTAAAAAAATATTGATTTTATATGAGTTTAAAAATATATGTTACTCCCTCCGTTTTATTTTAATTGTCGTTTGAGTGTAAATTTCTTTTTGCTTATTAATTGTCATTTTGAATAACTATGAACTAATTAGGTTTATAACTATCTAATATCCTAAAAATATGTAGATTAGTTTATGTTTTATTTTTTTTTTGGTACGTAACATAACAGATAACTATAATGGAACTACATATATAATTTACTATCAAAATGATAAAGAGAGAGAAAATTTACAAGATTTAAACTGATAACTATAAAACAGGAGTAGAATGATAGTAAGATAACTATTTCCTTCCAACGCGTAATTTTGTTTTTTTGAGTTAGAAAGACAATTAATTTAAAACAGAGAGAGTATTAAATTAGAAAAGTAGTTGTAACTTGTCATGTTTAGGTCTTTAGAATCCTCAACTCTCAGACATTTCCAGACCTTATCTTTACTCTAGAGACTTTACTCTACTCTAAAATAGAATGAAACGTCCGTCTCCAGCCTTTATCTCTACACTTTATTCTACATCAAATATATTATTTATTTATTTATTTTTATTTCAAATAAATTGATTTTAATATTATGTTGTTTTTATTTGTGTATTTTATGATTTACGTTTATTGTAAACTTTTGGTTTGAATGAAATCTACTTGTTTGGATGTGTTAAATTTTTATTCATATGGTATTATTTAATATTAAGAAATTACAAAATAAAACTATAATACATCAATAAATAGAAAGCACAAAATTATTTAGCATAAAAAATACATTGCACAAAGTTTCTAACATAAAAATACACTTACTAATACACATTATACAAAAAATTATCATTAAAAATAACAAAAAAAGAAAAAAAAAAAATAAAGTAAAAAGAAAAATCTAGCACATTTGCTACTCCTAGCGCAACACTGTTCATTTATCTGCAATAGCGCAAAAATATAACGTGGGATTGGAGCGCATATTCTGCGCTATTTGAGAGTAATACGCAACTCCAACGCAGCGCTGGAGTTGCTCTCACACTACTATAAGATTTTAATCCTCTCAAGCACACTTCTCACTCGAAACAATTATTATTAGTGCATCTCACCTTTTTTTTTGTTATCCAAATACTACGAAACAGTTATTATTAGAGACTAAGCTTAGTTAAAAAAAAAAATCAATCCTGCTCGATATGGCCAATGCTCGACTCGGCTTGGTTCGGCTCGTTTGCAACCCTAGTCCTACACAACAAACATAGAACCTATCTAATCTAAACAGTACAATCTTGCCACCGAAGATTAAATTAATCTAATGTTGTCTAAGAAAGCAAACATGGAATAAAGAAATTACATAAAACATGGGGACTTAGCAATTGAAACATAATCAACACATTCCATGCAATGCAACATATAGCCTGTAATATTCATAACTGGTGGGCTCATAATATATATTTCTAGTTAGCACTTTGTATCTGCAAAGAAGTCTTGAAAATGGATAATGAACCTCTCCATCTCCTCATTTGGCCTCTGAACCAAAACATTAACCCCCTCACCCCCACTCTCAGGAAATACCCAGCACAGGCGCTCCAACTGGTTCGCCACCGGCACACACTGCACAGGCCTTCCCCACGGGAAAGCCACACGATCGAAGCCCAACCTCAGCCACGAGCTCACTATGCAGTCCCCCAAAGGCAATCCTCCCTTGTTCATCTCCATCCAGTCTATAGCCGACCTCACATATTCGTCATTCACTTTATCTACCCCTTCGGACACCATTCCCACCAGCTTCGAAAACGGCCACTCCTCGATTTCTTTGCATTTAGCCGAGGCATAACCACCGTATATTGCGTTGCCACAGTATTCTGCCGGCAAATGAATCTCCTTCAGCCTCGACCTTAAATCCACGACCGTGAAAATGGTGGCATCTCTATCTCCATTCTTGTCAACATCGCACGACGAAAGGGCTCTGCACTGCCACACGAGAGCCGCCACAACTTTAAAGCTCGTGAGTTTCACATTCTCGTCTGTGGATGAGAATTTTGCCTTGGCCTTCAAAAAGTCGATGTCTTTCGAGCTCATCTTGAGGACTGTGCGGCTCAGCGGTTGGTTGGAACCTTGAATCGGGAGGCCGAGGGCCGGGCCCATGGGCTTAAAAATCTCGGGGTGCGGGAAAGTGACGAGCGGCGGTGATCTGGCGGCAAGGAGACGACGGTCGTGGAATGGGACGTACTGCAGCAGTCTTTGGTCTTCAAACGCTTGTGATGCTACGTTTTCTTGAAACATTTTTGCGGCTATGCCATCGAGCAGGATGTGATTCATCGATATCCCGATGGCGAAACCACCGCATTTGAACGAGGTTACCTGCATGCATCAAGTATAATTTCTTTATTACACAAAGAACAAAGATACCGTTTTTTACATGAGTTAAGTTGTTATGGCACTGACCTGAAAAATGCAGAGCGGCTGATCATGTTCGGACAAGCCATCCAACTTTTGAGCAGAAAGCTGCCTGAATCCCAGGTTAGGACAGGCCAGATCACCTATATCATTGACAGACAACTCTGAAGAAGCCACCAAAAAGCCCACACCAGCGGAGTTGCACTCGATCTCAGCCCGGCCACAATGGTGGTTCCACTTGAGTCTCCCGGCCATGAAATCGTAATGCAGCAGCACCTTTTCTACTGCCATTTTGAGTCTGGTGGCCACGGTTTCAGGTGGGAAATCTGGGCTGGCCCTGAAAAAGTGAGCCATTGGGACATTGAAATTGAGAAAGTGGTCAATGTTGGACAAGAAGGTGGTTTTGGTCTGAGTTTGTTGACAAGGGAGAACAAGAGTGGATTCTTGGTATGTGATCTTGAGGTCCTGCATGGCTGGGTTGGGCAAAACAGCTGCCATCTTTTTCTTTTTTCAAATCCTAATTTATTGCTCATGTTTATGTTGGATGGACCATCTCTCATATTTATACATGCAACTCTCATCTATAATTTTTGTGCGATCAACTGCATTAAATATTTTGCATTGTTGACTACCAGAAATGTCATACATATCCAGGTGAGAAAGCGGATGTTTGTTAAGAACTTCTGTCACCTATCTTAAATTTCAGGGAAACAAATGTGGTTGACTCATGAAACCTACCTAATGTGATGCATGAAACAACAAAATGTAGTAAATAGAGTTTGGTAAGCATTTTGCCCTGTTACATGTTGAGGTTTGAGAAGGGCAGAGTTGAGGATTTGCAAGTCAATTTCATAGCTCCACTTAGGCGCGTTCATACTAAATTTTCTCCTTTAAACTTGTCAGCTTCAGTCACCTAGAATTTCATTTATGGTGCTCAACTAACACCAAACTCTCACAGAATCCAACCATATAAGATGCACCAACTTCTCCCGCCAATCTTTGCTGATATGAATTTCCATAGTATTTACCATCACCTGTGCAATACATGGCACGCTATTTTTAAATTTGTACCATACATGAATCTATTCTTCAAATAAGAATCAACCAAATAAACAGATAATAATCTCTTGAAGTTGTCGGTCATCTCGGCTTAAGAGGGCAATGAAAGGCACGGTCACAACACAATCACTTTTACCAAATCCTGAGTCAGGTACACCTTACTGTAGCTAGTAAACATAGCAGCACAAGAGATTTTAGATCATGTTTGAATCAGTTTAAATTTAGCCTGTATTTCTAATTAGTAAATTATCTGCAAAGAAGTCTTGAAAATGGAATACGAACCTCTACAGCTCCTCCAGGGGAGCCATTTCCATCCAATCTATTGCTGAATTCACATGATCAATATTAACTTAAATAGCCCCCAAAAGCAATACAAAATTTTTGTAAGATGGTCAGATTGATGTCAGGATATGCCGGTCGATTCTAATCCTTGGGATTTATATCCTATGCATGTGAATGCAACTCAGTTGAGAAACAGTATGTTGAACTCAATAAAAATGTCTTACAAAGCACACGAGGTAAATGGAAGATTGTACATGCTTGACAACATTACTACCTTCCTAAGACTATAACATCCTTTTTTGTGGCTAAAAACATCCGAGAATATCTGTTATCTTTTTCTGAAAATTTAGTCTTTCGAAGCACATCTAAAGCACTTGCATCTGAAACCAAATCCTTGATACAGTATTGCCTGCCGTGCATCATAATCCATGCTAGCGTCGATGTAGCATATCCGCAATTCTTCCCCTGCGGTGCATACAAGTACCAATTAAGGCAACTACACGATAACTCTGTGCATGCGCTGTCACTACACTTGTAAGGATAATTTATTTTTTAATAATTAGCCTAGTTATTTTCCAACTATTTGTAAAGAAAGAATCACACAAGGCCTCAGCCTAGTTATGAAGAACTTGGAAAAGGAAAGTATTGTGGAAGTACACTAACGGCCTGTTCTCCAGATCACATGCTCTTGAATAAACTATGATAGGTGGAAAACAATTAAAAGTATAAGGCTAAATAAAAAGAAATGACCTTCTTCAATGTCTCGGAGAGCTGTTATTTTAGCATCCACATTCTCGGTCCATAATATATTTACATTAGGATCTGCAGCAATAGAGAAAAGAAGGTAATTTAAAAAAAAAAACAGCAATCCTGTTCAGTAGACAAGGATAAGCACTCAGCTTGCCGAAAAGAAAAGAAGGAATCTTGCTCACCACAATCGTGATTGTACAAGGATGGAAGCATATAAATGGCATTTCCAACAGCAGCTTCTGCTGCTACTGCTGCTGCTGCGCAGGAAAGAAGATCTTCATATGATCCAATGGGCAATTCGATTCGAAAAGCATTGATACGAATCCGTGCCAAAACGCCAGTATACCATTCTTCAGTCAAAACTACTACGTCAAAGATAAAACCTTTCAAACTGGACAAAAGATTTCATTAAGTCAACTAGAGACAACACACCAAAGATCAGACGCAACCAGAAGCTTAAGAAAATGCAACAATTGATGAACTTCATCATACAAGGATACATTCTATCAGCTCACTTTCAATACCCGAGTCCTCAATGGTACTTCTAAACAGGCAAAACTCCCTTTTCATCTGAAAATCATTGGACAGAAAAATAAGAAAATACAGAGAGACGATTCCTCTCACATGCGCAACCCCTGATCAAATGTGTAGAATCACCACATATTATCAAAACTGCCTCAGGAGTAGAGAATTATTTATCGAGCTTTCGTATTCATTTTTGGAGGAAGCTCTTATTAGTCACATATTCTTCTTCAGCCTTTATCCAGAGTCCAGTCTAAGCACCTACTGTACTTTGAAATGCCAAACAAAGTAATCTCCAAGATAACACATCTATTTCTGGCTGACGTCTTAAGCCAAAGTAACCTTTTTATTATGTATCTAAAGCATATAGGTAATTGACTAATAGAGGTTACTATCTATACAATTCCATGTGTGAATTTCACAGTAATGCCCCTTTCAGAAACTGGAGATGCTTACCTCAGCAATTTTTTCAAAGGATAAATTCTCTGGTTGGAGTATGTCGAGCATGTCAGCAGTAACAGATCCGGAAATAACTTGACAAGCAAACCGTTTGACTAGAAGCGGATACTTTAGGCCCTGCAGTCTTCAGAAGGAACAGTGAATATCCAATATAATAAATGTCATAGTAAATAGAGAATGAAGATCCACATACCGACAATATCCATCAAATCTCGACCAATCTGCCTTGTTCTCAACATCATAAAACTTCTAATGCCATGAAACAGAGGTTAAATAAGTGCAGAAATTCCAGATGGAATGCAAGATACAGAACTAAGGAAATGAAAGCATTTAAAGGTTGCAGTGCAATAATTATTGTTTCTACCTCTATTCTTCATTTCTCTCAACATTTGAAGCAAACCCATACCTTTACTGTTTTATCTTCATAAATTACTAAAACACTTGATGTAACTTGTCCCTTTATCCAAATAAGACTTATTTACAGAAAATGAAGATCACATTTTATACGCTGTTTTCACTAAAATTATTGAAACATGCCAAGCAGTTAAAAAGTATTACCTTTTAGTTGAACAACATCTCAAATTCTCACAACGAATTTACTAAAATGCATTTGAGCAAGGACAGCGGTGGTTACCACTGATTGATCTTCGCATTGTTTGCTGCAAAACGACACACTTTGTGGAGATCCCAAGCTGCCATCGCGCTCCGGAAGTCTCCTCAGGCATGAATAGCAGACGCAGTGAATCGACGGAAGAGAAGGATGAGAAAGAATGGGTTTTGCGGTGTGGATGAGTTCGCCGGCACCGATTCTCCGAGAGGCGAAGACGCCTCGGCCAGCATACTCAGTGAGCTCGACTCGGAGCGGGGGCGGCGCGGGGGTGGAGGTCGAGAACAAGGATTGAAACGCAGGCGCCGTTATGTACGGTCGGTGGGATTTGTGGAAGTGAACAGCCCAACAGGAGCAACGACGTGCTGAGCGTAACATTTTTCTGTTGGATTTTTCACTCTCGTCAATATTATCGGGTCGGAATTGGTTGTAGCTCGAAAATGCTCGAACCTGTGCTTGTTGAGACCTTGAGGGATGTCAGAGTGACTAGTGAGTAGTGAGTGGTTGTTATATGCAAATTTGTCATAAGACGAAGGATATTATGGTCATATCACTACCAAACCCACGAGTCCTTTTATAACTGCCGCTAGGGTTTTCCATTTCTCCAACAAGGCTGCATCGTCGTCGTCTCATTTCGCTCTCACTCCAGAGGCAAACACCGTCTCATCTTACAAGAGTTCGTATTTTTTACTGTATCTGCTCTTCTTTATAGGATCTTTCTTAGCAACAGCTTCTTATAGCTTCTTTTGGTGCAGGTGAAGAATAAGGAGAAGATATGGCAACAGAAGAGGTGGTGGCCCCCGTCGCAACCGAGGTGGAAAAGGCCCAGTGCGGCATTATGCTGTTCAACCGGTGGCCCTACGATGAAGTTCAGGTCATCTTTTTCTCTTCCACCATGTTATCTACGCTTTGATTTTTTGATGTACTGTTTGGTTAAAACGAATTTGTGTGGATATATATTTGCTTTTCTCAACTTTTCATGGAAGTTTCGATTTGTTTTATTGAAATATATGCTTTCAATGTGGATATCTTGCATGTACTCTCCTTCATGATTCATGGTCTTGTAAAAATGGTTGAGGTTAGATGTTTTGAAAAAAAATTTGATCTTTAAGGAAAAGTGAACCAGAATCCAGTCCTTATCTTTGGTACGGTTCTCTGTTAGCTGTTGTACATTTGTTTTCGTGTAAATTAGTGAATTGGTCTGTATCTTGGATTCTAGCATTATTTAGCTGAAATATGGATTGCTTCATATGTGGAAACACTTTGATTGAAGTCATGAATCCATGAATATCGTTTTGAAATTTTTGCTTTGATAGATGATTTGGGTTTATTAATCTCTTATTTCTCTATCCATTTTTATGGTGAGCTATTTGTGGTTGCTAACTATATTAATTTAAGTGTAGGCTGCTTTAATTTTGGGCTTATGAAGTGTTCCTATTTATGTACTACTTTCTAGTGCCACCAGAATTTTGTCGAAGTAAAGAACAATTATCATGGCATACATTTTATGAAACCTCATAGCTTATAACCAATTCTTGTGCAATTAGTTGCCACTTGCAGCTCATTTAACACATATTACAATATCAATACCCCACTTTTGTTGTTAGAGATTGTACATTGTGGGGATCTTCAAATGCATGTTAAACATATATAATAATTGACTTCTTTACTCTGATATTTCTTTGTCAAATATCATGTATCTAGGCATGCGTGCAAACTGTCTTGACCTTTATTAATTTGTTTTTTCGGCTCATTCAGGTTAGTGACATTTCTGTGGAAGATTACATAACTGCAACTGCAGCTAAGCATCCAACATATATGCCCCACACTGCTGGAAGGTACCAAGCAAAGCGATTCCGGAAAGCTCAATGCCCGATAGTTGAGAGGCTGACCAACTCTCTCATGATGCACGGACGCAATAATGGGAAGAAGCTCAAGGCTGTTAGGATTGTGAAGCATGCTATGGAGATCATCCATCTGTTGACCGATATGAACCCCATTCAAGTCATTGTTGATGCTGTTATCAACAGGTTTACTCTCACATGTGTAAATTTATCAAGCTGAAATCACTAGTTGACGATCCTGTAAACTGAGAACCGTGCTAGATCTGTTGTTTAAGTGCATTTTGTTTAACGTTATCAGTGGGCCAAGGGAGGATGCAACCCGTATTGGGTCAGCTGGAGTTGTGAGGAGGCAAGCCGTTGATATCTCTCCGCTTCGCCGTGTGAATCAGGCTATTTACCTGCTCACGACAGGTGCACGTGAGAGTGCTTTCAGAAACATTAAAACCATTGCTGAGTGTCTTGCTGATGAGCTTATCAATGCCGCCAAAGGATCTTCCAACAGGTGAAGGAGGATTCGTGAATATTTTCGTGCACCAAATATGTGTAGCTTTTCATGAACTAACATGTTGAATTTGCATTCTTGTTTATGCAGTTATGCTATTAAGAAGAAGGATGAGATTGAGAGGGTTGCCAAGGCCAATCGTTGAGAGTGGAAAATTTCCCCCAAGTTGCCAGAAAAATGTTGTTTTTGTGCCTGGATGTTATGTTTCATTTTGATTAAGGGAGCATGAGAATTTCTTGGTTGATGTTATCCACTATGGATGGGCATAAAATGTATTTGTTGCAGAACCTGAAGATTTTGATTGTTTGAATTTTGTGCTGCTTGTTGAGAAATGAAAACTTGGATTTGTGCCCTTATTGCTGCCCATTTCTTTTAGGTGGCAGTAACGTTCGAGGAAATTACACCCCACACTAACATAATTAATTTGTTTAACACTTTTGGGCCTATTAAGAGACTATTTATAAAATTACCAAAAGAAGCTAAAATATTTTCAATTATACCTACAATATAATTTAACCGTTATAAACGTGTTATCTGCACATTAAAAGGAAAGGTGATGTTTAATTGATTTTAAAGATATACTTAACTAAAAATTGGGAACAAAAAAGGAATTCTCCAACCAAAAACTCCCCACCACCCCATCTCTGCAAATCTGCAAAAAGCGCTCCGAAATCTCCCCCAAAATCTCACATCTCCGACTCCGCCTTCAATTTCTCCGGCGACAACTCGTTCGCCACCCTCGCTGCCGACGAGGACGCCTCCTTCCGCCTCGTCGATACCTCGTCCAAATCGCACCACTACAACCCCAACCGCCCCAAGTTCAACCCGATCTGAATTTACGGAGGATTATAATTGCTCCAAAATATCAATGAGGTTCTGCAAATAACTTCTTCGAAAGTTGATCCAAATCAAGCTGCACACTTTTCTGTAATACAACTTGTAAAATGCCCAATTCTATTAAAAGAAAAAAAAAGAAATACAGTGTGAATGCTTATCTCCTTCAATTTTGAAGAAAGTCGATCTCCTTCTGTACAGTATATGTTTATCTCCTTCAGTTTTAGACGATAGTATAAATGATTTGACAAAGTATAAATGATTTTTTCTGTGTATATGTATGGTTTATATTTAGTATATTTTCGGTATATGATAAAGAAATTTATCGCGAGTTTTTTTTTCTGTGTATATGTATGGTTTATATTTAGTATATTTTCGGTACATGATAAATAAATTTATCGCGAGACATAATTTTTATGTATAAAATTAATTTATATTCAACATAAACTGATTTTTTTTTTGTTATGTATATGTATGGTTTATATTAAGTAACATGTTATATTATGTTTATAAACTATATATATACTTTTATGTATAAAAGTTTAAAAAAAAAGGAAGACATAATTTTTTGATGGAAGACATGTTTTTCATTGCAACATATACTGAATATATACTCACATAAACAAAAAATATACCACCTGACAGGTGCGTGGATTAAGGAATTAAGGAATTCCAACTGCGCACATATACTGAATATATACTAACATAAACGCAAAATATATCTATATACTAACATAAACGCAAAATATACCACCTGACAACTGCGTGAATTAAGGAATTCACGTTACGAATTAAGAAATTAAATGAGTCAATTTCTCTCTCTTATGAGTCAGCTATAATTAAGGAGCTACAATTAAGGAGCGTTTTATTTATATGGTTAGTTACATGAGGTATACTTATAATAAAATCCTAGATTTTAGGTATAGATAAAATTAAATTTGTCCCACTAGTAAAAATGCAATATTTTACAATTCTAACGGGATGAGTGAAAATTTCCCGTAATGTTTTGCTGGTGAAGTTATACTTTGTTCTAGCCCTATATTTTGCAGGAAAGTGTTGGTTTTATCCCAATATTGGGTTCTCTATTAGTGCTGCATTCGACTAAAATTATGTTCCTCATTTAGGATGAAGTAAAAGTAACACAACAGTTGTAATTTTTGGTTTGAAAAAGTATTTCTATATTTTAGAAATTCATTTATGTATTTCATCCTTTGGCATGAAATTAGGCGAGGTATTAATAGTGAGTGGTCCATGGCAACGAGTCACCTCGTTTGCCTTGTGCCTCTCATCCGCCCACGTCTACTATTTAGCTACCCTCAGTTTCCTTTTGCGTGGTAGCTTTACCTTTGTATATGCACATTAATGTTGTGAAAAATACAGTATTCATGAAAGTATTTCCATTTTGAGGGCTGTTTGGGTACCGTGATTATGACAGATTGGTATCTCACAAGTGTACAGAGGATCCAAAGTGGGTCTATCTCAGTTTTAGTTGTAACGTAGAAATACAAAGGTTCAATGAAAAATATTTTGGAGTATCATATGTGGTCCACATAATGGTTTCTTTCTGTTACATATTGATGTAGCTGTAAAGATTCAAACTTGATAAAATAATTTTGAACACACCATAAAATCACAAGCTAAGAATATGCACCTATCAACCGGCAAGCATTTTGGACGGCAGATTGAATTTTCCCATTTTCTGGGGTATTATTAGTTTGTCAAAAAGAAAAAATGAAAAAAATAAATGTAGATCCTTCACCTCATCCATTTGCCCGTTTGCTTTGCTGGTGGCCCTCTTTTCTCCCATCTCATTCCTATTCCTATCTAACTTTAGCAAGCAACCTTCTTATTCTTGGCTCTCCCACTTTTGTTCATTACTATTGTTCTTTTTAATAAAAATTTACTATACATTTCTCTATGAATGCATTTTCAGTTCCATTTTTCTTTTTCCTAAAAAAAGGCTATATATAAGTTGGGATGCTAAATAGAAATTTCCGAAAGAAATATCTAGCAACTTATTCAAAGGGGTCCTATTCTTTTGTGGTGCCCATGGACCATGAGCGTCACCTCACAGTAAAGAAGCAAACTAGTTGAAGACCTTAAAAACTGGCCTCCAAGAGCAAGAAGACACATTTGGGGTAGTCTAATCCAACTGAAATTCCTCACTGAATGGGAAATTATAGTTGCATAGCAAGCCAAGCAACCTTCATTGATTGAATCCAATAATTCAGCAGCTGTACAAATATCAAACTCTTGCTCTCTCTCAAACTGAAACAAAAAAAAAAAAAGATGGATCTTGAAGAGTGGGAGCTCCTTCCTGAGCATGGATTTCTGGATGAGGACGGTGGCAAAAAGGTTTACTCGCCCAAACGATCGGGTGTTTTTGAGATGAATTACTTCATCTGCCCCCTAAAATCAGTCGAAACACCAACAACAACAACAACAACAACAACAGTAGGTGATGAGCCTCATATTAATCAGCTCTTGCCTGTGCAAATCGATCTGGGGCCGCCTAAGATTGTGGCAGAAGCAGAAAAGGTGGCATCTCTGAGTGATGAGCAAGACACAGTTTCGCAGGTTTTCTTCAAGAAAATGAAGGAAACCGAGTTTGTGGAGATGAAGATGGAGTCGCCAAGGTCCGGTCCGGGCAGGGGAGTTGTGCCTCAGCTGGATTTCCAGTTTGATGAGGATAATAACAAGAGTTTGCATCAAAATTCGGATAAAAAGTTGGATGGCGAAGATGAGCAAGGTGTGATCAACAACATAAGGAAATGGAGCTTAACCGGGATCGGTGCTATTTTCTCGTTTGGAGTTGTTGCTGCCACTTTCTGCATCATTAGCCTCAACAGCCAACATATACGTCCCAAGCAGAAGCTTCAGTTTCAGGTTTACACCAATGATCAGGTCAGGGTGAAAAAAGAATTTTCTCTTCTTCTCTTTTCTTTTCTTGTGTAATAATATATTTACTTTCTTATGTATATATATATTTGTGTTGGTGAATGTAGAGAATCCAGCAAGTGGTTCGTCATGCGAGTAAGCTAAATGAAGCGATTTCAGGCGTGAGAGGAGTTGCGATTAGCAGGGCACACATAACTGTTGGTGGCTACTATGATGCATCCTCTCTTTGATGGAGAACTTATGCTGGAATACAGACGTGGATCTATTTATCTTAAAACACGAATAGCATATCCTTCCTCCTCCTCAATGTTTACGTTGTTAAGTTCTAATGTGGGTGTATAAATTTACTACTGATTATAGATAGCCGTGCTACAACAGTCTTATTATGTTTCAATTTAGTGTTGTTATATGTTTCGCTGTACAAATGCATAGTGTGATTTGTAAACGTGCCAGTGGACTGTGGAATACCAAAAACAAAGAGCAGCAGGCTCAGCTATGACCTATGATATGCAATTTTTAGTTGGAATTTCAGTTTTCGATCAATCCTTTGTTTCTACGCATTATGTCAGCCGAGCGATTTTAGTTTGCACTCTTCTGCTCGTTTTCTGCGTTGTTTGAATACGCAATATTTCATCTTCTTCTACCACACCGAAATGCAAATCATCTTCAACGAACACACCAATTATGATAATGACTTATACGTGTACAATTTTCAAGGAATAACAAAGTTTAACAAGAAAAGAAGGACGAGAATTTAATAATGAATGGAGCAGTAGTATATTATATATGAAGGGGAATATTAATGAGAACACATGTTCAATATGTTGAATGATTACAATAATATCAAATAATCAATCAATAAAAATCAATAAAAATAGGAGGAGTCTNATATTCATAAATAACCGAAATAAAATAATACCATGAAATTTCATAAAATCCAAATAGTCACATAAATTCTATTATTCTAACGGGACGCTACACGGCAGATCATATGTTCAAAATAGTCGACTCTGATCTAGCCCAAACCCGTTGACCATGGGCTTGATCGGGCCGAGTCGGTAGGCCGAGTGGCCCGTGGATATCTCTACTTGTGGCTTACAACTTACAAGTTACAAGTTTCTTAAATTGTATTTGACCGCGTATACTACAAAATACAAACAAAATTTCTCATACGTGGATTTAAATAAATTTAGTGGGGTTATCAAAATGTTAACAATACTAATGTTTGAATCGAACCAACAATAAAACTATGAATAGAAATTATTATAAACTACAGAAATTTCCAAATCAGACATTACACTTATAAACAAGAACCTGATCTTATATAATTATGAAAATAAAAAAAAAAAAAAAAAAATTCTATTTCTGACCTCTCAATTTTTGAAAATAAATAATAGATGGCCCACTGCGTTCATTCTTCTTGCACATAAAAATTTGTGTGTTTATTGGAAAAATGTCACACGTTTTTTACAACTGCTTAGATGCATACACATGTTAAATATATTTAGTTTATTTCCACTAGGATAACCATCCAATTTCATGTTTATGTTTAGTTCGTTTCATGTTTCATTCTCTTATATTAATGACACGTGTACAAAGTAAGCCATCATCACAAAAACATTAATGATGTGTATATCTCAATTGTTTAACTTCATACTGGTGTTGATATTATAGTTTGGGAAAGGAAAAAATGGAGTACCTATTTTTGCCCTTGTTGGAGAATTTGCAAAGACAAAGTAGTGGTCCTTGCTAATGGAATATGCAGGATTCTTATAACTTTTAAACATGGTTATATGAAATGAGATTTCATGTTCCAGTTTGTGTTTCATTCAATTCGATGTTTGATACATACAATCGTTTACAAGGAGATAATTAATCTGTTGAGAGAAAAATCAGCCTACATTTCTTTTCACAGCAAGGCAAGTGAGACAAAATAACTCCGACCAACTAAAGTAGTCAGGCAGCTTAGTGCGAAAAGCAAGTCGTCTTTATTTAGAGGCTTGGGCTCTGGCAGCTTGAAGCATTTCCACTATGAGTGTTTTCACGTCCCTATGCAGCAGTACGAAAACAGAATGAGACTAAATTACTAAATTCAGTCAACTCTCAGCACTGTTTGAGCAACAACTACCGGGAATTTCATTACTCACTTTCTGTCTCCAGCACGCCTCGTGAATGGGATACGGAGCTTGAAAGTGTTCCCCTGATAACCGGCCTTCAAAAGAAAACTGATGATCTTTATAACTCAACAAGCAGTCTTGAGGAATAAAAAAAGACTAATCTAAACGGTTCAAACCAGGAAAAGAAGAACATAAGCTAAGTTTCCAGGATTTGAAAGAGAGGAGGAAAAAATAGATTTCTGGAAGAAGCAACTTTATGGATATAGGAAAAAGTTAAGAAAACCATTCAAACTAGGACATTATAAGAGATATCAAAATAACCTTCACATTGAACCCCAGACTGTCAATGTCCAACATGTAAGCGTAGTCCACCTGAGAAATGAATGATTTAAGATATAGAAGTTATCATCTGTAGCTAGGATATTATAAGAGGCATTTACCAAATCAGATGTGGAAAGAAATCTTAACAACTAATGGATGTAACAATTTACATGTCATATTTGTAGGAAAATACAATGCTGTTGGATTCGGGAAAAGAAACAAATGAATTACTGCATTCTGTGTAAAAAGCTTATGGACAGTTGAGAGAGAAAAACTACCTTTGCTGAAATGATTATAACATTGCTGAAATTGTAAAGACCATAAACTCACGTATAATATAATACCAGTCTACCAGAAGTCAAACAAAATTGACGACCTACCATATAAACTGTAAATACAAATAATGAAGAAAAACATAGCAATATTACCGGGATGGAGGTAGAGTGCTGCACAATCAGCTTTGTATCATCTGAGTGGTCTTTATTCATGTGGGACTAGAAACAAATTTAGAAGCTAGTAAATCTGGACAAGATGGATAACCGAAAAATGACCAAAGGATCAGTTATGTGGCTGGTGTTACCGTTATAGGTTTGGAAAATTGATATATAGGATCCACCATTGATGTTCTAAATTCATCCTTGGTAAACTCTGCAAATATACGGATAACAAAAGACCACTACTCAACATGATCGAGTCGCATGAAAATACCATCACCATAAGATGAAGAGACCACAGTGTTCAAGTCTTAGTTAACTGGAGTTGGAAATACATAAAGCAATAGTTATGTTTATTTGCACAGTCTCATAGTCAGCTACAAAGTCTGTTGCATTTGGTTTAAAATGGAAAGATACATAAGAATGTAGTAAAAGAAACCACGAACCTCCTGATCCTAATAAAGCTGTTGCAACTCCTGAAACATATCTAACAACTTGAGGTTCAATGCGCAGGAATTGGAAGTCACCAAAGTCAACCTGCAAAAAGCTTTATTATCTCAGTACTTGAATAATTTCTTGTCATAATGGTTAGATCGATGAATTGATGAAGAATAAACATGCAAGACAGAAAGTTACCCAGAATGCATTAGGATGTTTAGCCAAATATGCAGTCCGAACAGCTTCCTTATCAGCTTCACTAACCTAAATTAACCACAGAAAAATCAGAAACTGCTTATCGATTCATGATATTTAAGCATAGGTGATGCTTACTGGTGTGGCATCACCATGAACAACAATAACTAGGTCAGTCCTGTCCTCAGGATCTTTTGCTACAAGCAACGAGCATTTGGGATTAGCTAAAAGGTCCTGCATAAAAAATCAAAGGGAGTAAGGAGGTCGTAAATATTCTCAATGCTCGACTTTTGACACTAAGTTCGACAAAACTATACACTACGTCTTTCGTCCAAGTTGAATATTTATGAGCACACTATTCAAATCTGGATAGTTCACAGACCTTCGTATGAACTGCTAAACTACTAACAGCTAACAGTGGAGACCCGAAAGCATCACAAGCAAAGTCCACCATGGACCCTGATGGATACCCGTTGTACTTCTGGATTAGATTAAAGGGCAAAACTTTAGCCACAAAAGGCGAAAGCAATATTCGTAAAACATGAACTCAGATTGCAACACACAAGTAAATAAAGAGCGGAAGGAAGTGAACCAGGGACACAGTAGAGAGGACCCCGCGTGAGGTGTGACTGAGAATCGTTTTAATTTCCTCTATAGGAGGCAATCTAGCTGCTTTTTCCTGACATATTAATAACTCCATGAGTATCGATTAACCAATGAATAAGTTGATAAACAGCAAAAATAATAGGAAAAAAAGAAAAGGGGCAAAAGCTATCGGAGAAAAGGGGACCTGATGAGATTGAATGAGTTGAAAGACGTCAACTTGATCATCCTTGATATCGGGCGGATCAGTAGGAGAAGCATCCTGTGCAGAAAACAATAATTGATTGCTTTGAGAAAAAAAGCAACTGAAAAGGAACGGTTAGTGGGTCGGTTAGATATGTGTATATATATATGTATAATTCATGTACACACCTGACTCTGATGGTTGGTGGAGGATAGAGGAGCTGCGCGTACTCGGAGGGGTGAAGAAGGAGGGTTATGACTACACCAAATGTGGCCACCAAAATAACTACTCCTAAATCTAATCCCCTGAAATTGGGGAGAAATGGAAGGGGTGAAGTTGGGGCGCAGCTGCTGCAGCACGACGGCACAACTCCTCATCTTCTATCTTTTTCTGTGCACTTCTCCAAATAGCTCAACTATCGATTAATTTGGCAGAAAGTAGTATAGTTCCCTTTCTATTCTTTGGTCATTGATTTTGCTCCCAACAGAGTGGCCCCAGCAAGATGCTATATTAGTTTCCTTTTGTCCGTATATATATTAAAACAAACGAGCCGCGAGTTCCGTTGATGTGTAACGAGCATTTAGTTACTAAAATATAAGTTTTCATGTTTATAACTCGCCTCGTTAATATTTATAAATTTTCATGCCTATATTTCACAATATTATTTATAAATTTTCATGCCTCTATCTCACAATATTGATAAACAATTTGAGATTTGTGAATACACATTTACAGCTCTTGTGAATTATACACTTCTCTAGTTATTCAAATGGGTCCAACATACCAAGAATCTTGTGCAACTTCGTTATTAATTTCACTTGGGAATTATTTTGAGGTGTGATTCAAGTATATCAAAAGAGAAATTTGCATTTGCATAAAGTCACTGCAAATAGGAGTCATAACACTAATGATTCAACCAGTGTCAAACATAAAAATATTTGGAAAAAAATCTTTTTCACCCCAATATAAAGATATATTAAGTTTTTCACATCGTCCACTAATAATCTAACTTTTTCACCCCGAAAAGTGCGAAGGTTATGCGAATGGACTGCATAACTATCGCATATCAATTGCATAATTATCGCATATTCATCGCGCAATGTCTTCGCACTTTAACTTTTTCCACCCCAGAAAGTGCGAAGGGATATGCGAATGTCTTCGCACTTCTAACTTTCGGACAATGTCATCGCACAACTATCGCATATTCATCGCATAATGCCTTTGCACTTTAACTTTTTCCACCCCAGAAAGTGCGCAGGGATATGCGAATGCCTTCGCAGTTCTTTCGCACAATGTCAACGCGCAACTATCGCATATTCATCGCACAATGTCTTTCGCACTTTCTGGGGTGAAAACTTAACTTTTTATTAGGCGGTGTGAAAAACTTAGCATGACTTCAAAACGGGGTGAAAATAACTATTTTCACAAAATATTTTATGATAACATCTAACGTATTAGTTTCTTACACAATGTATCTCTTACTACAGATAGATCCAGTGCCATTTCTACATATTACAACTATGAATTAATGTCATGATTAGTATGATGGAATGAAATTTCGTAGGAATGTAATGAATTGAAGAATGAAAGAATTATGGGAATGGAATGAAACATGTTTTGTCATTGATGCGTTTGGTATGCAGAAGGAATATGACTGGAATGGAATGACATTATCATTTTTTATTATAAAATAAATAAAAGCTTTTTTTAAAAAAGATAATATACTTTTAATAAATTATATATAAATGCTATTTTAATAATATATAAAAATAATATATTATATTTTTAATAATATATAAAAATAAAATAATATATAAAAAATAATATATTTTTAATAATATTTTAAAATAAAAAGTAATAGATTTTTAATAATATATATTTTTGATATTTTTCAATATTATATTTTCAATAATATATTTTTAAAAGTAATATATTTTTAATATATAAAAAATAATATATTTTTAATAATATATAAAAATAAAATAATATATTTTTAAGTTATATATGAATGCTTTTTTTAGTTTTATTTTTATATAAGTATTTAATATATATAGTTAAAAAAAATAAAAGTAAGTTTTTAATTTTTTTATTTGAATTTTTTTTAAATAATTTTATTTAATATATTTTAATCATGATTTATGATATATATTATATATTTAAATTTTTATTATTTATTAATTTTATTTTTAAAATATTGATTCCTACACACATGGGAATGAAAAAACCTTTCATTTACTATAGAATAGTTAATCCCATGGAGATGGGTTTTGCCATTCCCATTGGAATGGTCATTCCTTCTCAAAAAATATACCAATCATGGGATAAAGAATAAGTAAATGAATGATAATTCTTTTCTCATGTCATTCCTTCCTACCAATCATGCCATAAGTGATACAAACCACAAAAGCTCAAAAGGGCACAAAACTCATACCCATAGATTTAAGAAAAGCAAGTGCAAGTATGCTCCTATTTCCTTGAAAACTCCAATGTCACATGCTATATCAAAATCTGTACTCTAAGCTAGAGATCAGTTTGTATAAAAGCTTTAGCAACTAAACTTCCAGATATCCTTTGTCTTCCAAGTACGATACCACCTGCCCAGCCATCTCATTTGGTGTGGGGCATATTCCTTCACACTCTTGTATCTCAATCTACAAACACCCACAAGGTCCAAATTCAGTTTCATGGAGAAAACACACACACACACACAATAGGCGAGGACATGTAAAAATCAATATATCATCTAACCCACACACCTCACAATTCAGAGGAGGTTCGTAAGGATCGTCTATCCCTGTAAAACCTGCACCACAATTAAACTCTGCTTCAAACACCATTCAAGTCGCGATATTCGTTGACATTGTTAAGCTATTTTATTGGGAGGTACAAAGAGAATGCACACACCTTTAATCTTCCCAGCTCGTGCAAGCTTGTAAAGGCCTTTGGGGTCCCTTCCTTCACACAACGATAGAGGCATGTTTAAGAAAACCTGAAATTTCATTTAAGATACATTACATCTATTTCTACTAACTAACTAGCACATAAGATACTTCAAATTTTAAAAAAGAAATAGCAGCACAAAAAAGTTCTACCTCAATAAAATTTTCAGGCAACAATGCACGACAAGCATCACGATCTTTACGATAAGGAGATATCAGACTAGCAATGCAAATCAACCCAGCATCAGCAAAAAGCTTCGCAACTTCCCCTGACAAGAGAGAAAACCGATGAGGCGATGACTTTTGGTGAAAAATGTTATCTTTTACCATTTAGACTATCATGTAACAATCATCAAACAACTGTCCACATAACAAAAAGAATACAAAGTAAAAGATTAAAATTAAAAGGGACAACAAAAAAAGAAACACAAGATAGTTGCCAACTTTCTTGAAATTCAGATAATAATAGTTAAAAGTATTTTGTACTTACCAACCCTGCGTATGTTTTCAGTCCGATCTTCTGGTGTGAAACCAAGGTTCTTGTTGAGACCATGCCTAAGGTTATCTCCGTCAAGAACATATGAAAGTTTTCCCCGACAATGCAATTGTCTACCCAGTGAGCACGCAAGGGTGCTTTTCCCTGTATTGATAAATCAGAAGATATTATTGACTTCCAAGGACATTATTTGATGCATCTCCACAAACTCTTGCAGTTATGCAGCCTTACTAGGAGCTTAAATTTCTATATGAAATAGTGGCCTACAACTTATAAGGGCGCAATGCTGCCTTAATGCCGACATAATGAAATGAAGAGAATGTCAATTCAACAATAGGACAGCAGATGAGACATGAGAGAGCATATATCCACACGGAGTCATATTCCACACGGGGAATCGGAGAAGATGATACGCTAACAGCAAGACAAGAATTTCGAGTGTTAACCTGATCCACTTAGACCAGTGATCCATACAATACAACCTTGTTGGTTGAGCAGCTTTTGCCTATCAACCTTCCCGACAGGACATTCATGCCAGAAGATGTTGCTTGGGTTGCCCAAAGCCGACATTAGGTATGATGCCCTCTAGACTTTTCACTCTGTTCTGACACATGCATTCAATTCACCTGACATTAGAATATTCCATAAAACCGGGATTGGGGTTGAGGATAGGATATGAACAACAAGGCATAACTTGACTTACAAATTGTTTTTAGTGAATGAGTAAAGGACAAAATTTTCAACTTTTTTTTTATCACAAAAGATCATGAATTGTTTCTAAAATTTGTCTATTCTGCATTTCTTTCTGTACCTAATGTCTTGGAATACTCATAATAAGGGTCTATAATAGCTAAAATTGTCCAAATAATTTCCCAAACAAAAGCAAGCAATGTCCGGGGAAAAAAATTTGAAACGTATCGAACACCAGCAGAAAGAAATCACATTCTTCAATCTTTCACGTCTTATGCAGAAAACCCAGATATAAATTGTACTGATCAAGTAGTAATCAGCATCTATACATTCCGATCTATACATTCCGGATTAAAAGTGACGAATCAAAGGGATTATAAAAAAGAAAATCAAAAAAAGAAGAACGGAGAAATGAAGTTACTTACAATAAACAAAAATGGAGCGGCCGGGGTGGAAAGAAAAAAAGAGGACCTTCACGCGCACTTCACCACATTGTGAGCATGTTTTGATATAAAAAAAAGGGTTAATGGCATATAAAACCCTAATCTTTTATTAAATTGCAAATAAAACTCAACTTTATAAATTTAGTAAAAAAAATACTAACCTTTCATAAGTGTTGCAATTGTGTCTCAACCGCCACCCGCCGCCGGCCAACTTCGCCGGATGTTGAAAATTTTTATATGATCTTGTAGCTCTCCTCCGTGCCGACAACATATCCAAGTTTCACGAAAAAATTCCGACGATAAGAAGATGACCGGAAAAGTCGTCACCGGAAAAAGTCACCGATTTCGGTGAAGGTGAACGTCAATAGATGCAGCTTTGCGAGAGGAGTTCAACGGTATCTTCGGATTCACGTGGGTCAAAGCAAGTCACCGGGAATTTGCGAAAGAGCCGGATAAAATTTGTAGATCTACGAACTTTGGCCGGAAAATTGGAAGCCTTATCGTCGGAATTTTTTCGTGAAACTCGGATATGTTGTCGGCACGAAGGAGAGCTACAAGATCATGTAAAAATTTCCAACATCCGGCAAAGTTGGCCGGCGGTGGGTGGCGGTTGACGGCGGCGGGTGGTGGTTGAGACACAATTGCAACACTTATGAAAGGTTATTATTTTTTTTGCCAAACTTATAAAGTGGAATTTTATCTGCAATTCAACAAAAGGTTAGGGTTTTATTTGCAATTAACCCTAAAAAAATTTGTGTTGTTGGTCTTTTTTGTTTGGTTTGGTTAATTTTAAAAAATGTGTTATGGTTAAGTTTTAGTGGATATATTAAAATAATTTTTAAAATAAAATAATAAAAATTAATTTGACGTAAAAGTATGAGAGAGATGATTTGAAGTGATGGTTAGTTAAAATAATGTGAGTGAAGGAATAGTGAATTAAGGTTGATGTGTTGTGTATGAATGATTGATTGATATTATTTAATTATATTGATAATATTGATGATAGTATGACTGAGTTAAAGTTGAATTAAAAAAAAATTGTTAAGTTAAAATGTTGGATTTTTTTTTTTATTTCTTTTATGCAAACACATCTGTGATTTATTTTATTCAACATTTCATGTCTTTGACTTACGACTTTCGGCACCATTGTTTACTCTCTTTGTCATTTCTTTCTTTATTCCTCTTGGAAATTGGACTGTGAGTAGATTACTTGGACTGTTACAAACCGGAACAAACCCGAGTCGAGCTCAGCTAGTTAAAACTCAAAAATAAGAATTTTTATATAATTTTTTATAGTTCAACCACTAAAACTCGAGTTCAGGTCATTAAAATTAGAGTTTGATTCATTAATATTGACCAGTACGTACCCCGTGCGATGCACGAGACAGAGATATTAAATGAGTTATTTTTACAAACTTTGTCCGTTTAAGTTAAAAAGTAATAGTGTTATCATTTATTTTTCACCTTTAAGTCTAAAAAATAATATGGTTATAATCTATTTTCTATCTCTTTTAATTAGTGTTATTTTCTTAGTCAAACCATTAAATATGAGCATGTTAGAGCTAAATTATAAAATATTTAATATATTATCTCACTAACACGTTTATACTAATATAAATTTAATTTTGTATATATTTATTCTTTGATATAAGAAAAAATAAAAGTTTTACTTATTATTGTTCACTATATAATACTTAATTATTATTTATTATAAATATTGTTGTCTTATAATGTCAGTATTATTTATAAAAGTTATAGATATAGAAGTTGTACGTCTTCTTTTTCTTTAATATTTTATGTAATGAAAAAATATTTAATGCACGTTATTATTATTTATTTATGTAATCAAATTAGAATATGTAAATAAATTTAAAATTAAATAGTGTATAAATATTTCACAAAATATACACACATGTTTTTTTAAAATTTAATTTTGTATATTAATTAAACAACTTTGATTTAGCAAATACCAAAAACTCAATCCCTTCTATAATAAATATTTTTCTAATTTGCATCATAAAGATTTATATTTATTTAGCATACTCCGCAACGAAAATAAATTTTACAAGAATTTTATTATAGAAAGAAATTAAAATAAAAAAATGATAAAAAATAATCATGGTTGCCAATAATATACAACGAAATTCTAAAGAACAGTTAATATATTTTACTTTTAATTTTTAACAATTAATAAAACTATTTAATGTATATGGTCATTATCTCTTAAATGTAAAATTATATTAATTTTGAAGAATAATTTATTTTTTATATATAACAAAATAAAGCTTAACTACCTAACCTGTTACAATTTTCTATAAATATTTTTAGATAAAAAGTGAATATTTGTGAAAAGAAATTAATATTATGGTTAGAACTTAAAATATTTTGTAATATTTATTTTGGCAAAAATATTATCAACATGAATCACGGAAAATCAATTTTGTAATTTATTGTAATGGATATCAATGAAATTATTGCAAATATTAATAAAATTATTTAATGAAACAATATTTTTGATCATATCTGATTTGATCTTATTGAAAACATATATATGAAAGCAATTAATGAATATATTTAAAAAATTTCCAAAAAAAATGTATACATTAGATGCTCTCAAAATTTTTTATTACTATTTTTCATAAATAATTATTCTAGATATATAGATAAACAGAGTTCGACTCGGCTGCTCAAGTGACCCTCAAATCAAAAGCTCTCAAGATCCGATTTTTATTGCACTGATGTAGCCTTTAAGGGAGCGAGGTAGTATAGCCCAATGTCCAATGATAAGGCCCATATACATCTCAATTCACCAAACAGCCCGGATATTAATTTGATTCTTTAGCTAATTCGCATCTATCTATCTATATATAATAAGAATTAACATTTACCATAAATAGTAGTAAGGAAAAATCAAACCACATTTATTATATACTATTTTAAGAATTTTTTTTATTTTACATCTTAATTTTAATTCATTATCAAAAAATTGGATGATTTCTAAATTAATGGGTTTTAAATGCACGTATATTATAAATCATTTAAAATCGGATGGTTCCTAAATTAATGGTTACAAACTTTTCAAAGTTGTAATTTTTATGGCATATTTTCTTTATATATATATATATGAACACTAAAAATATTCTTTAAATTGTATACCCAATCAATTAATCTTGATTTTTTTTTTAAATTACTATGTTTATTTTTTATTAATATCCATATAATAAATATAAATAATTCATCATTAGATATATAATTTATAATCTTAATATACTATCATTTGATGTAGACATATGAATCACAAAATTTTTTATTTCATAAATTAAATGTTATATTTAAAGAAAATAAGAAAATTACTTTGGATCAATCGGGTGATTGAATTAGGGTACTGCCCACGTTGATTGAATTACTTTGAGGTGATATTTAAAATAGTAAAAATAACTTGACACAACTTGGTTGGTCCCAAGTAACTAAGTTATGTATCAATTTGACCAGACCAAATTAATTATTGAACCTAAATATAAATTTTAATATTGAAAATACTTTATTACGTGAATGTGATGTAGTCCAAACTTCAAATAATCATATTAACAATAGTTTCATGACAACATAATTAATGATTTATGAATATTTATATATCATTTTATTAGTATTTATGTGAACAAAATAATTATTTTATTAATATCCGGTAAATATAAGGTTTTCAGAACCGGACCGTCATCGAAACGATCAAGTTATTTTGTTAAATCATTTGTGGTTGTTCAGATTTTAATACATAATACTTTAATATATATATATATATATATATATATATATATTGTACTTTTTGTAATAAATTTCAATAAAAAGTGTTACTTAAATATCTAAACAATTTATAAATTCAAATGTTTAAACTAATTGATAAACAATTTATAAATCTCTATTTTAAATATGTAATTTTATTTAAAATAATTTTTAATATAACAAAATTTATTTAAAAAATCGTATCGATCCTACTAATCCAACAGACTGGTGTTGACGGATTCGATATCAAATATTTTATTCAAGCGCACTATATTGGTTATAAATCGGTTCTCGGTCCATCCAGTCAGATTGTGTCTCAATTTAATTTAAAAATAATGAGTAAATGATGATTAATGTTATTTATTTATTTAATTTATAATACAATCAAAATATTATTTTTCTGGGTATTGCATGGGCCATACGCATTAGTTTATCTTCACGCCACAATAATATTCCATTTAGACACCCCTCACTCTGGCTAGTGGAAGCAAACCAAGGAGAGCGAGAGGTCTGCAAATGCAGGCATATGCATATGGTCGCTTGATGTTGGGTCCTACCCCATTTGATGGTGGTGGCTATTGTAAATGGATTACTCATTCTCCCTGCCGCCGTCGATTGGAAGCTTCGGCCACCGGCAGAGGCCGCCGGAATCACTACGACGTACTGGGTATCTCACCGGACGCTTCCTCCTTAGACATTAAGAGGGCTTACCGCCTCCTCGCTCTCAAGGTTTTCACTATTATCGCCTTCGATCTTGCTGGGGGTCTTCGCTCTTTACCAGTATAATTCCTGGTGGATTTTTCAAAGTCAACATTAGCTGGTCGATCATAGAGAAAATCAAAATTAGTAAATTTTTTATTTTGATTAAAAAAAAAATGAAATCACGAAGCACCCAATCCTTTCTATGGGGTATTGGGGGTCTTTGGTTAGTGTGTAATTTGTATAGGCTGTAGTCTGTAGAGAAATGAAGTTGAGGTTACTCTTCAAATATATCTTTTTTTTCCTGGTTTAACTATTAGCCTGAACAAAACTTGCTTTGTTAAATGCATAATAATTTATAAAATATATATCTCTTTAGTGTCAGTCTCTTCTTGTTGTCCTTACCAAATGGAAAATCTCATTATCACTTAGACCCCTTGAATTTGATGCATTGCATGCAGTACCATCCGGATGTTAACAAAGAAATAGGAGCTAATGAGGATTTCAAGAGCATCCGGCTTGCTTATGATGTGAGCACCTTTTCTTGTATCTATTTTTACCTACTTGTTGAATTCTTATTAACTACGATCTAGTTCTCTGCGATCTTTCATCAGTTATGACAAGTGAGAATGAAGTTGTTAATTTATTGGTTGCACGTTACACTTGTCTGTTGAAGTTATGTTATATTGTACAGATAGATTACACGGTCAAGTAAATGCTATATTTTGGTTCATGAATCATGTAGGTTGAGTAATAAGAGGAATGATTTTGGAATTATGTCAAGTAAATGCTATATTTTGGTTCATGAATCATGTAGGTTGAGTAATAAGAGGAATGATTTTGGAATTATGTGTGAAGATTTGACCCGAGGAGATAGGTTTCATATTTTTCCTTGAAAACTTTTGGGACCTTTTCGAAGATCAATTTTTGCAAGTCAGAATTCAAAAAGAAGAAGAATATGATAAAAAAGTTTGGGCTTGATACTGAATGGTTGCACAAAATTTTTACAGATCTAGATGTCCCATTTAACCAAAATACTACTTTGATTTCACCGGACTTTGTAGTATTTGACTTGTGTTACTTTATTCCCAGCTGCAACATTTAACATGGAGAATTTTGAAATTTTTCATGACACAGACTTTGATCAATGAAACAACCAGAACAGAATATGATAGAACTCTCTGCCACCAACAAAGGATGACAAGACCTCTGGGAGATGACTGGACAACTAATTCAGAATACGAGGATGAGTTAAGGTTTCACAGATGGGCGTATCTGAGACGTAAAATGCGACATGAAAGATATAGGAGACGATATCATGCTGGCGAAGAGCAATTTTCATCCGATGATGACAAAGCATATGAGAAAAAAAAACCAGTTAAGAAGAGAGGGTCATTTGTTGGAGTGCTTAGATCAGCATTCATCACGTTGTTTCTAATGCAGACAATGGGCTTCAGACTCTTTCTCGCGTATAGTGGTGTAATGGCCTTGGTTGATAAGCAATTGGATGCGGGTTACAAGTTGGGTCTTCTACTTGCATGTATACTGGGGGGTTGGGATGGTTTTTTGCTTACAATATTCCTTTCGTTTGCAACTTGGGTTTGTGGCAAGACAAGCAGCAGTGTTGTTGTGTTGGTAGTCGTTGCCATGTGGTTTGGTTCGAGTCTCGCAAGTTATGCTCCGATTCCTCAAGGTGCACTTCTCACGCTTTTGTATATGTCGTTCAAGCTACAAGTTGATCTTACCTAAATAAATCCCTTGTTGATGCCATTGGGTGCCCCGTGAATCGTGATGGTTCTTGGAATGCATGGATATTTTTCCACATTCTCTGTTTGTGAATATATAAATGATTAATGTGAGACATCTGGTTACAATAACCTTTTGAAGTTTACTCTGTTAGATGAAGATGATGTATATTCTTGACAAAAACTGTAGATTGTTGGTTTTCCTAGCCATGTGAACTTTATTATTTTAAGCTGTAGCCTCTATCTTCTCTTGACGAGTATGCTGTGTGCAATGTCCAATTGATTTTACCTTTGGGTCTCGTTGATTGTTGTATAATTCGAATTCTAGCTGGTTGACCTCATTTACTGAGGTGTATTTGAAAAAGAAAAGCAGCATATCATCCAAAATTTGTTTTAGGGGCAGGGAAAGATCATAGTTTTGTTTTGTTTGCCCCTCCTTTAAATTGGTGGATGCCTGTCTTGTTATGTTGCTCCCCATATGAAGTGGGATAAAGGGATTCTTAAATGTTGTATTCTGTGGACAAACAAATATTTCCAGTTGTTTATTGGTGTCAGACATGCATAACGCAAATACAATTCAATATCAAGCAGGCTATCTTCGTGATCTGAAATGTGATAAATTATGCTGTTAAAAGGGTTATATCTAGTTTATATGCTGATCAATTACTCCAATTCCTAACATCAAACCAGGTGCCACCAAGATTCAGTTTTCTATCCATCTATTTCATAATGTTATTGGACTTGAGATAATTATTAGGCCAATAGATCACGTGCATAGTTGCCAAGATTCAGTTTTCTATCCATTTATTTCTAATGTTATTGAACTTTGGTATAATTATTAGATCACGTGGTAAGTTACCAACACTTGAATCTCACAAGTCACAACAAACTGGAAAAGCGAAATTGGAAAGCATATGAATGACAGTACCGGGTGAACTCTGTCAGCCTACATACAAATCTCTCACAATTCTCTCCCATCCCTTAATAGACCCGAACCTCTGAAAGTTCCCCAGTCATAGTACAGAAGCACAATAACAGAGAGTTATATACTTTTTTCAGATAAAAATGACTGAGCTTTCTTGAGTAGTGATTGAAGATCTGAGCCAGTCAATCACATGCTTTGCTGCTCAGCATACAGTACGACCATAGCATATTGATGCAATGTAGAGATTTTTGGACCATTTTTCCTGCAAAGCAAAAACAAGTACAATCAATCAGCAGGCTGCACGTACCTCTCAAAATTTCAAGAAAATTTGTCGCCCACCTCAAGGAGTAAGAGTATAAAGTTATGTATATGGAGTGAAAAGTAAAAGTTGCAGAGGAGAGATGGTACCTTCACATGGGTGCTAGGAAAGGCAGAAGTCCGGAGGGTCTCCTGAGTCTCATCCACCATTTTACGACGAGGCATACTAAGTATGAAAGCTGCTTGATCAGAGGTTGCAGCCATAGAAGTAATTCTGTAACCATTTTCCCACCTGCGATGTATTCCCTCACTTGGGTAAAGAAAATCAAGCTCCACCACCTATATGCCATCAATTCCATATGAGTAAAGTAAACTGAGTTCTATTTACAGAGAATTCAGATAACTGGGTGGGTCACACCAGCCGAATTCATTCAAGAGGTAAAACAAAAATTATTCCAAGATTTACCTGTTCAGAGTATCCTGAATTTCTAGACATAACAACACCCCAACGGCTGCCAGCAGTGGTCATAGATGTGACATGAAAACCTTCTTTCCACTTTTTATTTATCCACTTGAAAGGAAATGATTCACTAACTTTGTATGACTGTTGGGTGTAGGGAGTTCCTACAGAATAGCCAAACTCAAAACAATGACAAGTCTCAAAAATTTCACTGGCCCATCATATCTTGCACACGGGTGAGTTCTATCGACTAAAATATTAGCAATGACATTATATGTAGCCAAGTTAAGAAAGAGGATGCAACGCAAAAGAGACAAAGTTTCAACCAACCTTTAGACATAACCACCAGAGAACTTCCATTAGCCGCACCAGCTATAGAACTGATGTAATAATTTTTCTCCCACTGTTCCATGATCCAATCCTGTAAAAAAATGTGAAATAAGCACATACTACTGCCACAAAGGAGAAAACCACCCAAAAGTATTGACTTGAATTATCAGTTTCAAGAAAAAAAAAACCTTGTGGAGGAAGACAGCTGAGAGCTCATACACCTGTGAACTGAAACCCGTTCCAGCATCCATGATCAAAGCCCAAAGATTTGTAGCTGAAGCCACACAGCTAATATATAACCCATCTTCGTTACCCTTCTCTACATGCTGGCGCAGCCTCGAGTCGGCAACATTGTAGTGGTACCTACAAACACAATAAAAGAAATGCTTCTATAATTGAAAGTGTAAAACATCGGATCTAAGATACAAGGATTCAATGATATTATGCAAGCCATATGTATGAAAGGACACTCACCTTTGTTTCATGGGGCGCCGTGCATTATACACTGAAATCCACTGAGTTGCAGGACTACCCAATCGCACTTTCTTTTTTGGCTGTTCATCCTCTTCCAAGTTTATGAGCAACCTTCCACGCTTTTGCCCAACCTATGAAGAATAACAAAAATATTTTAAGATATGACTAATATTAACTAAACATATCTTGAACAAAAACACTAGAATATCCTAAAATATGTAACCTTGAGAGCTCCATCAATTCTTATAGGTCTCAGTGACGAGCAAGGTTCAATGAGACTATCAAAAAGTGATATCAGCTTAGAATAATTTGGCTCCTCATCAAACTTCATATTAGAAACAGCTTCAAGGAACTGTTTGAATGGAGCAGGGCAAAAGCAACACATCAACTCTGGAGAAGTCGACATTTTCTTTTTACAAACAAGGAAACTCTTGTTGTCACCCTGCCGGGAAAAAAAAAATAAAAAAAAAATATAAAAAAAAAATAACAATAAGTTAACTCAAACCCAATGAAGTAAGAATGTTGTAACTTACTAAGGCAATAATGCCTATTCACCTGATAGCCTTGCCATGGCAGCCTTCCCTTTAGGAGAAATATCAGTGTATATGCTAGGGACTCCAGATCATCCCTCCTACTTCCAGTACGACCCAAATGCGCATGCACACTTGCATACCTTATTGTGCCTCTGTCGATGGACCAATGGAGTTTGAAAGTTCCAACTATGAATAAAAATATAGTTCATGGTACTAGGTGGTAAACTAATTACTGCGGATTCCATCTATTATCTATTATCAAGTTTAACAGGAAGACGGCCCATGATCTAGTAACTAGCCCAGAATAAGTTCAATTATTTCGGAACACAGAAATCGGCAGCCGGGGTGATAACACAATCAAATACAGCAAGCAAAAATTGGCTCGAGGATATGACTATATGTACAAAGAACATAATTTAGCCACAAAATAATAGCTTTTCAACCTTAAAACAAGCCCTGGGTAAAAAACAAATAGAGGGTTGGAAATTTCTCATAACCGCTTGAATGCACCCAAATAATTATCAAGATGGAAGAGCCAGTAGAATGAGATAAAACAGAATGCTTACATTAGTTTTCAAGCTAGCAGCCTGACATGATCAAACAAACTTTCACGTAATCCTATTATATGACATTGTTACTTGATTGATATTGACTAAATGAGTGGAAACTCAAAAAACCTGAATATATCTGGCCTCTGATCATAATCCACATGCTGACCAGATGAAGAATCCTTCCATCTAGAAGCTGCACCACCAACATATTGGAAACAAGGGAGGGTCAATGCACATGAGAGTCAAAGGGTCAAACAAAATGAAATCAATGGAGATAACAAAGCAACTTATTATAATTGTGTTCCATATGGTTGGTCTAAGGCCATCCAACTGAAGGTAGTCATGACACTGAATACGAGAAATCATGGGGTCTCATACCTAAACCAAGATCAATAAGATACAGTTTTTTCTCATCAGGAGTTCCAGGTTGACCAAGTAGAAAGTTCTCTGGCTTGACGTCTCCATGGACGAATCTAGTAGTACAGTAATGGCGAATAATCATGTATCCAAGTGAAGAAAGCAAATTGAAAACCAATAAAGTAAGAATTGAGTAGTAAAATCAGTAGCTCTTCTAAGAACAATGCGACTACACGTGCTGGGATATATATCAAATAGGTCATACCCTTTCATGTGAAGCTTTTCAAGAATTGATATTGCCTCCACAGCAATGCAAGCAGCCATATTGTGAGACATCCTGCTCCAGAAACCCATCATCAAAATAAAAACAAAGCAATAAAAAGGAGATAACAGTCGAGCTTAATTTATATTTCTTTCATGATTCACTATTCAAGTTCCTGTTCATGTAATTGAATGACCCCTCCCCCCTGTTGGACAGAGAAGACTTACGACTGGCCCAAAGAATTCCAAACATCCCAAAGACTTGGTCCAAGCATGTCCATGACCTGAAAAATTAATCATTACAACAATATAGAAAACAGTAATTAAGCCTGAATGCAAACCAAAACTCACCAGGATATAGAAATCTCCTTGCCGACCCTTGTAATGAACCCATGGGATACCATAACATCCGTTGAGGGTGCTTTTATGTAAGAAACAAGTATCAACAAGTCAGCACTTAAACCAGAAAGGAAAAAAACATTCACAATTTAAACAGAGAACTTACTTGTACACCTGCCACTCGTAAGGAGGGCCATAATTACAACCCTTGCTACTTCGGTGCTCACACTTCAATGCAACCTTAGAGATGGAAATATTTTCAATGGAATTCATAAATGATAATATCTAGGAAACCCACATAAGGTAAAAACATCCGCAAATACCTCGATAGCATCCGGTCCTGTTCTTTCAGTGCCACCACTTACCCTTCTGCCAACATAAACTTGACCAAATCCTCCCTTACCTAGTTTCCTTTCTGTCTTATACACAGGAGAATTACCCACTTGAACCTTCAACAACAAATCCACAAATAAGGAGCACAGTTAGCGAATATGCTCCAGCATATCTGAAGTTCGAAACCCATAAATAGGGGAACATACTCGAAACACTTTGAAAAGCACTAAACAATGTGAAAGATAAATAATTACCCTCTCAGGCACCGGAGTTGTGCTCGCATCTTCTTCAACTCCCATTATTTTGTCCCCACTTCCACCATCCATGGCAATTTCTTTATCTGCGGCGCCTTCTATTCTATTAAATGCTACCTGTGCAGCCCCTAGACCAATAGCTTGAGGAGCAACCTCACAGTGTGGCTGTGGGGCTAAATCGATCAACCTACCTCCCCTGCCTCTACCAGCACCAGTTGGCCTAGCGGGTGTTACTGCAGAAGGTCCTTTACCTACAGCAGTTGCATTGCCTCTGCCTCTGCCTCTCCTTCTGGTTCTAGCCTGAGCAGGTGCAACAATATTTGCTTCTTGATCAGCAGTTTCAGGGGCAGGATGAAGATCACCAAGACGTTTTGATCTCCGTGCTCCGCTACGCAATTCTGGCATCATCACCCATGCAAAATCACCTCAGATTCATTCCCACACCTTCTGTCAGAATGAGGAGTCGCCTAAGCCAAACCATAATGCAAAAAAAAGACCAAATTTAAAATAACCAAAGCCACAATCTAACAGGAGATCAGACTTTTTCCTCAAACCACAGCATTTCAAAGCGAATAGAAGCTTAGAAAGCCCATATATTTGAACGAATGTCAAATTCAAGCAAAATTTCCCTACTTTTAAGCACCCGTGAAGACAAGGCAACAAAATCGAATTCCCAAACACATCAACAAAGGGAAACAACAAAAGAGGGGAAAAGAAAACTTCACTGCAAAGAGGATTGATAGCAATTCACGGAAAGTACACCCTAAAGCCCCCCGTAAGCACTATATTGTAACAGAACGATAAATTGACCAAATAAAAGCAGGAAACTTTAAGCTATTCACCGATGAAGAAGAGCAAAAGAACGCCACCATAGATCGATTACGGTACCTGAAACAGCAAAGGAGAGATGATCGGAGGTAGATGGAAAAATCGAGCAGATGAACCCAAATCGATGAGCCGATCAATAACAGATCCTCACAGGAAACACGATGACGTTTCTGAACCTAAACAAGGGGATTAGTAAGAGGATGAAAGGGAGCTGCTATGTTAGATTTAAACTTCGGATAAAAAGCTATGCGTTCATATGCGGCCATCCTCTTGATTTCTCCACACAAAACTACTGCCTCCCTGCCTCTCCCCTACTCTCTGCTTCAATTTATATTTTAGTTTTCTGTTTCTTTTTTATTTTTCGAAAAAATTAGAGCATATTTGTTTATAAAACTAAAAAATAGAATGGACGGATAAGAAAATATCAAAATCATTCCATCTTTTACTTATCTCAAAATTATTCCAATTATATATATTTTAAATACTAATTAATCAAAATATGAAAATCATTCTATTTTCCAATATACCAAAACTTAATTAAATTTATTCTCGCCATAAAGTGTTATCAAATTAAATCAATAAACGTTCAAATAATATCAATGTGGGATAAAATTATTTTCATATGCCTAAATGTTTTGTGAAAGATTTAAAAAAACTAAGTATGCCGAAATTTGGGTACATAAAAGGGGTAAAGTGCTTAAATTTTAGAATAAACATAATTTAATATTAATACTAATATTAAATGATATTAAATGAAAAATATCAGTTTGTCTAAGAAACCAACCGTTGGTTTCTACTATGGAGCCAACGGCTCCATCTATGTGACGGCTGATGTTGCAATACGCATGGTTAATAGCCAAAATAATAAAATAATAACAAAAAATAGCCAAAATAATAGCACCCGATTTGTTTTCTCTTTCTTTCATCTGTTTGTTCTCTTTCCTTTTTCTTTTATGTACTCATTATATATTTCCCACTTCATGCAAACTAACCACACCAATTATTTATCCCAATCTTCACACAATTTAATGATATTAATTAAGGAAAATTTATTTCAAAACTTGAGATTCAACAAATAAATAAATAAAATATTTAAAATTCCACCATCATTCAAAAAACTAAAAATTAACAGAAAATTGTAGCTTGAAACCTTCTTGTAAATCAATTTAATGGCGCCAAATCAAAAAACTAAAAATTAATAGAAATTTTTATATTTTATGTTTTTTATTGGTGATAAAATCTCAAATCAAAATGTAACAAAAATTACTTCCAACTCATCAGATTCTATAGTTTTAGAATCAAAACATTTATCGCCATTTAATATACCTGATGAGTTGGATATTATTGTTGGTAGCACATCAAGAGTTCTGAAAAAAACCCAAAAAAACAAAAAACCAAAACTTTAACCTAAAAATCACAACTAAAACAGTTGAATATTTTACTCGAATCGACAACATTTTTTGTTAAGGCAATTTGACACAATTTTTTGTCACTACTAATTTATGTCTTCAATGTTACAAACTTGCCCTTGATATTTTGTGTCCACCTAACTAATTGCATGTGCAGTAAGGAGTTATTAATTTCTCATAGGCAATTGAGATTTTGTGTAATTTAGGCAAACCTTAATGTTATTAATAATTTGTAATTATCCCAAAAATTATATGAATTCAGAAAGAACTCATGCTACTCATTCTTTTCAGTGTGGAGCAAGAAAGAATACCTCATGAACACATTGTTCAACTGCTAAACGTGCCAATAATAATAATAATAATAATATATAAAGAAAAAAAAAACACCCAATAAATCCTTTGAAGTAGCAGCAGCTTAGTCCAAGAGACCGTCATGAGCAGGTAATGCTCCATAAAAAGACCCCAGTTCCTTAAGTCGCTGCAAGCAGGGTAAAGTGCTTACCTTCATCTAGCTTGTGCGACTTTCACAAAATCCGTAAAAAAATCTTTTGGCATGAACACTTTCCGCATGTCCTCATCGCCGCCGCCGTCAGCCATCACCACCGCGTACAGCTCCAACATGCGGATCCCGAGATTCTCGGGCGACTTGTAGAGCTCCTCCCGTCTGATCTTGTCGTCGCCATTCCGAACGAGCATGGAGAAAACTCGGTGGAACTCCAACGTGCCCATCTCCTCATGTGGAGGGTGGAGAATTGATTTGGATTAACCGTAAATNAAAAAAAAAAAAAAACACTCAACACACAACTTGTTAAAACTTTCAGTAGAAAATAAAATCAACTACACGATACATTATCAGCAAACAAATCCCTCAAGTTCCCATCATATACAAGAATGTCGAACGAAACTAATCAAAACACTACACGCACCTAACACATTTTCAAAAGTTTCTTCAATGCATGACAATTAAGTAATGGCACAAAAAGTTGATATTCAACATTCCTCTTACCCGATGAAAAGTTTTCTGAGGGGGAAAATTTCAAAACTAGTCCCACAGGTATAGGGGGGTGACAATTTTGGTCCCAATAGAATGCAGAAAATATGAATAGTCCCACAACTTTTAAAAAATGATCAAAAGTAGGACTTTTTCGCCGGATTTACTATTTCCGGCCCGGAACGCCACGTGGCATCCGACGTGTTCATACTTTTTTACAAGTTGTGGGACTAGTTTTGAATTTCCTGCATTCCATCGGGACCAAAAATGTCACTCCTCTAAACTTGTGGGACTAGTTTTGAATTTTTCCCTATCTAGAAAAAAATTCAAAACTAAGCCACGTGTGCGCCAGCGTGTAAAGAATAAGCCACGTGTGCGCCACGTGGCGTTCCGGGCCGGAAATAGTAAATTCGGCGAAAAAGTCCTACTTTTGATCATTTTTTAAAAGCTGTGGGATTATTCATATTTTGTGCATTCCGTCGGGACCAAAATTGTCACCCCCCTATATCTGTGGGACTAATTTTGAATTTTTCCCTTTTCTGAGGGGTCCATCCTTTAGATCCTTGGTAGTGGACTCGGTTAAAGCTAGGATGCGTCGTATGCCCGTTGTGGCTGCACCACGCCCAAGTGCAGCTGCCCGTGCCACTAATTCTTCCTTCAGTGGGATGATGCCAGCTGGCGTGGATAGATTACTTGTAGCGCCCCGTTCGTTTATGGATTATTTGGGATTTTAATTAATATTATTGTCATTATTATTATTACTATTATTATTATTATTATTATTATTGTTATTATTATTTTATTTAAGTGCCAAATTGTCTAATAAATGCTTGATGTGTAACCGAAATTTTATTTTAAGTTATCGAGCGAACCGACCATTTTATTTTGGCTAAATTAATAATCAAGTTTCATTTACCGTTGCGATTAATTGAGCCCGAGAACCAATTTATTCTTGTGTGTTCAGATCGAGCCCTTGAACCCAAAATCGAGCCTTATTATTCTCGGCCCATAAGAGCTAAATATTTCGGCCTTTTGTTCAAGTATTTCTGGCCCGTTAAAGCCCTTATTCTCAGCCCATGAACCTTGATGACCCGACCAGTTTCTTAATTAATTTGGAGGTCAAGACTAAATTTTTTCCCTAAGTATTTGAACGCCGCAAACCCTTCTCCTTCATTTTTTTTTTTTTTTTCACACGGCCGCAACCCCTCTGTCTCTATCTCAATCTCGTCAAACACGCCGTCGTCTCTATCTATCTCCCTCTCGTTCGATCCGGTCACCTCACCTTCATCTCCGATTGCATCATCACCAGACGCCTCCTCTCGTCGAAAAAACCAGTCATCGCCCTTCGCTAGTTCATTGTCGCATTCCATCGCAAGAAGGAGCAACAACTCGATCGCCGCCGACCCTCATCCGCGCGACGCCGCCACGAACCAGCAAAAGCCGCCGGCGAGCCCTTCTTCCCCCGCGAACAACCGACGACCATTTCTGGTGAGCCCCTGTCCACACGCAACTCCTCGCCGGGAACCAGCAAAGTCCCGACGACCCCTCCTCTACGAGCCGCCGTCCTCAGCCGCGGCCCTCCACCGCAGCAGCTGTCGTGTCCAGTTGCTTCCTCTCGCGAACGAGCTTCCCCGCGACCAGGAGCCCAGCGTTCATCCCGCGCACGTCGCTGCCCCTCGACCACCGTTCAGCACCACTGTGAACCAGCAGCGAGTCACCGTGCTCGACCATTGCTCCGCTGTCCGCTTGCTTCGCCATCGCGAGACGAGTGTCTGCCGTCGAGCCCGAGAAACGCCGCGCAGCACTTCCCGAGCCACCGTGCGTTTGCCGTTCGTTCCCTCCGTACGAGCAGTGAACTCCGGCGGCGACCTAGCAGAAGCAACCCCCTTCTCAGCCGTTGTCCCCTTCGCGAGACGACGCTTGCCGTCGAGCTTGCCGCTAGCTCGCCTCGTCTTTCCGTTCCGTTTTTCGAATTCTCGATAACGGTACCTAGTCGATTCCATCTCGTTTAAATCGTGTATGTTATTTATGAATATGTGTGATTTGCGATTTGATATGCGAGATGTGTATATTGTGCCATTGTGTTCGATATGATATTTGGTGAAAGATATGATTTTATGTGTCGTTTATGTTGTTTGGGATCTCTTCAATAATGAGAAATTGAACGAGACCTCGAAAGTCATGTAAGTCAGTGGATATTGGAACGATGTCGAGTCCTTGGCCTTATGGGAATGTCTCGGACGAGAAATTTCACGATATGAATTAATTGCTAAGTTGTCGAGCATATATGTCACTGTTTTGGTGTTTGAATTTTTAAAAATTGGACACTGTTCGGAATGACTTGAAATTTTGAGGGATATGTTATCGGTTCATTGTCAGCCTTGTGTAAAAATTTCGTTATTTTTAGAGGCCTGTTGCTATTTTTAATAATTAAAGTGAATTCTGATCAGAATAGTGTTTAATGCGTAATAAATTGGTTTGTGTTTCAAATGTGATGAAATTTTAGTATGTTGTGTCTTTGATGTGTTTATATGTTATGTTAATTTTTTAGAATTTTTTGGTTGAATTTGATATGGTTAATGATTTTTTTTCTATTTCTACTGAAAGTTGTATCAATTATTAAAAATCGTTTCTTCATTGAAAAATTCTGGAACTTGACTGAGATGCTTATTTTATTTGTATATTCATGTTGTTTAAAGATGGGAATTTTTGGAGTCCAATTTAATTAAGTTTTGATTTAAATTCAATAACTGCTGAATCTTGTCGGAATTTTTAAAATTAGCACAGATAATGTCCAAGGCTGAGATTTTTAAGTTGTCTATATCCTGCTGTAGCTTGTGAGTTTAAATTTTCAAGTCCTGATTCATTCATTAGGTTCAGATATAAATTCATGTGCGTTTTTGCTGAATTCTTGTAGGAATTTTATAAATTTATGTGCTTTGAGTTTTTGTGGTTTTACTAATTTCTGGGAGATGTAATTTCATAGCTTAAGTCGTAGGGTAGCCTGACCATCTATTTTCATGTGATTAATGATTACTATTTTCAAAACATGATTTTGAAATGAAAAGTTGGGAATCGACTTTCTTTTCGTTTTGATGTGAGTTTGACTTGGTCAATCCTTAGATGGATTTATGTGAACTCCCTTATGTGGTTTGGTCGGGTTTAGTGCCGAGTCTTAATGTTCCAACATCCACATAACTTCACGAACTACTTAGTCGAAACAAATTCGACTAGGTCTGTTTTGTGTTTTCCTTTTTTAAGTCAAGATATTTATTGTAGGACCTTGACTTAATGTAGGTGTTTGAGGAGTCAAGCCTCGACCCACGTCTTTTCTGATAATTGCTATCGTCCATCCGAATTTCCAGGTGGGTTGTTATTCTAAAATTATCTGTGCAATGTGTGTTAAATATGTTTATTGTTTTGGCGTGATCTATGTATGAATGTGAATATGTAGCCTATCAATGTGAGCTATTATGATGACCATCGGTACGGTTGTCCCCGTCGATGTAATACAGTTGCCTTATGAGGCAAGTCTCCTTAAGACCTATTATGAAAGGCCGTGTCCTTGCGTGGCACGTACTCTCGCCGTTAGGGTAATGAATCCCCTTTCCGCGACTATTATGAAAGATGTGCACAGGAGTATTTATGTTTATGTTGGAGATGTGACATATGTGATATTGTTTATGTTCATGCTGCGACTATGCCTATTTAACATATTACTATATGTGCATTGCATAGTGTGAGTACGATATTTAACTGTACTTACTCCCACCTGCTCGTAACTGATGCAGGTTAAGCAGTGGCGCGTGACGAGACAAGACGGGTGGTGGTCATTGCTATTATGCTTATTAAATTGCTACCGCTTATTTATGAACTATGTTTGTATTGAACTTGTTTGGATTGGATTTTGAACTTGTTCATTTTGGAAAACTTTCGGATTTGGTTTACGATGAAAAACCCTACTTGATATATGATTGAGTATGATCTGATGTTAAATTTATCGATTTGTGGTTAATGAAAATCGTTGAAAAATCGGGTAATGAACCTCGTAGTTCAGTTATGATTTGAACTGTATTTATGAAAGGAATGAGTAACGTAAAAAATTTATGATTCGAAAAATAAGTTTCGAAAATTTTTACCTTGATTTTTGGAAAAGCCATGGATTTTCTTTAAAAATCGATTGGGGCGTTACAGTACTGCTACTACTACTATTATTGTTATTGGCTAAGGCGGGTGTACCTGAGAGAGTAGAAGTGGGCGCAAAGACGGGCTTTATTTAAGGTTGGTAGGTCCCGGCTCCATGTTTGTTATAATCATCGAGTATTCTTTGCTGCTCGGTTCTTTTAAGGCCCTAAATGAGGAGTTGAGGACACAAATACACCAAAGGAAAAGACGAATACAACAGCTAAAATAATAAATGGGGGCAAACAATTGTACTAACGATCAAAAGAGAGAAAAAATAAAAAAATAACCATAATTTCCATTATTTAAAATTTTCTAAAGAAAAATCAATTCGACAAGTTCGGGAAGGGTATCACAAACCTTTAGATCCAAAATCCTTTGGAACTCAGGAGGTGTACCCTCAGGCAACAGGGCACAGTATGTATCTGCCACTGATTTGGGGACAAAATGACCTGTGTAACATTTACAGAATTTTTAACCACGGCAAGGCAATTTAAAAAGAAAGGGAAAATAAAATAGAATACAAAACACGTTTATTTGAGCCTCAACGCTCAGTGGAAGACATAATCCCTTTAGCAATGCTTCAGCTTTGCTCATTTCACTGCTTACAAACTTTGAGTAGCCTGCAGCCGCAGATACCTATTGAGAGAAACAATTAAATAAGATATATTTGTTTCATCTCATAATAATAAAAGGGCAACCTTATAAAAATATTAAATTTTAAATTCTAACAGATTCGAAACGAATCACGTCATTTCTTTTGGCTATTATTTTCGACTGGACTATACTCATTTTAATTATATATTCAAACCTAAGTCTGTCCAGAAAGGCATTACTATAGAGCAGCGATAATCTGTATATGCGAGGAACACAATAAAATTGTTGGAATGGAAAATGAATAATGCATTTTATGGAGATGTGGACTTTCTTTAGTGCGTATCTAAGGCGATAACCAAAATTCCTATCGTATGTGCATAAAACAAATATTAAGGTTCTAAATGTATTCCGGAAAATTATCGGGTGAAGTCGTGAATGTTTAAACATTGAAATTCGATTATTCACGCTTCTAAAAGGGATGTTTTGCTACACTCTTCTATTGGAGTTGCCATCTAACCTGTTTTCCAAGGGACGGAATCTCCAGAAGAATTGTTTTAACAGCCTGTGTCCAACAGCATCTGCAGATTCAAAATATTGACTTGTTACTTACAAAAAGAACGCCAATCAAAATCAATCAAGAGCATGTTCATAGATTAGAGATATTTTAGGCTGATTTTTTGTCTTATCATGCCTTGAAAAAGAAGTCAAACTCGATGACAAAAGTAATTTACATTCAACACGCATTGATCAAGCAAACACCACAGCAGACCAGATTCCAACGTGTGACCTGGATTAGAACATATGTGTTATTTTCAACAAAAGCTTTATTCATATTCAATGATCGTTTTTCGGAAAATACCACAGTGAACCTTATGTAGTTATCTTCAACTGCAAATTAAAAGAAGATGAACAATTAAAAGAAAAACAGTGAGACAACGTTTCTTTTCCGGCAACAGCTCGTCGAAATCGGCCATGTTGAAGAAAGGCCACCTCCTTTCCTACATGCCTAAAATAGAGCTTAAGATCTAAATATACGATTACACACATAAAAATTACGAATCACGTGTACTGTAAAAAACTGGGAAAATAACGCGCAAGGCAAAATCAAAATGAAATTGAAAAAGGGCCATTTATGGATACCTCGTAAACTTTAGTCGCCGCTGTTACCCCGAAAAAAACATGTTGGGGTGCCAAGACGGTCGAAGAAAATACGCCCGAAATCCATTCATCTCGATCCTCCGACGGCTAAATCAATCGGAGTTAATAGCCACACGCACGACGTGTATGTGTGTGTATATATGTGAATGTAAAGAGGTTTTTTAAGTACCTCTGTAGTTCGATGTAAATCTGGTGCGATTCTGGCAGAAGAAGCTCGAGCACCGGAGCCGGCTTATCCAACGGGCAGATGCAAAATCCCATCATGCAAACAAAAACGTTTCCCAGCTTCGACAATTTTTTTTCCGGCAGGGTGGCGCTTGACACATCTCAACAACCCAATTTTCCCGGAAAAAAAAACCCCCAAACCAAAACGACAAATCAAAAATAAAAACAAAAAAAGCAAAAGGCAAAAATCTCCAAAAAATAAAAAGAACAACATCAAATTTGCAATCGGTCGTCGCCATCGCCGTCTCCTTCCTCCTATTCTCCTCCTCCGTCCCTACGGACCTCCAAACGGAAAAATCTCATGATTTGGACTTGAAGTGAAGAAGAAATTCGGGTTTCCGCCGCCGACGGAGCCGAATTCCACCGTCACGGAACCAAATATCCCAACTTCGGTCTTCAAGGACTTGTCAAATAGGTAGCGGGGGTCATTCGGCCTGTAGCTAAACTTAAGCAGCGGGTCCGACCCGAGCCCGACTTCGAAGTTGATGGAGAGCTTTTGGCGATTACCAACGGCGATCTCGGCGGAGGAGAAGTGGAGGCTGATGATGGTTAGGGAAATTTTGGTCTTGAGAATTGGGGGTTTCGGGTCCTCCCGAAGGATGAGCGAAGATTTCATGATGTGGGCTTTTTTCCCGAGCTAAGAGCGGCATTTTTAATGGAGGTGTTGCTTCATTAAGATGAGATGAGATAAGATATGACGAAAAAATCTGATTTTTTGTTAAATGTTTGAATTTTAAATTTTTGCCAAAATTTCCTCAATTTGTTTTTTTAATGAACGCATGTGTGCGTCAGTTTTTGTGATTAAGATTAAGATATCTACAAATATTTGGCAAAAAAATTGGACCAAATTTTTTAAGTGATTAAAAATATTAGATGGTAGAAATAGATAAGTTCAAATAAGCTGAAATAAATATCTCCAAAAAATTCGAATTGATGACCGGCATGCATATTCAATTTATTGAACAAAAAATCACTCATTGTAGTATTTATTTAGGTGGGAATTGAAATCTTTTTTTTTTGCTGATTTTTTAGTTGATTTTTTCAAACAACTATCATTCCCTCTTTATATATTAATAGATTTTTTGTTTTGTTTGAGTTTTTGATTTAGTTTGGTTAATTTGAAAAAAGTGGTATGGTTAATTGTTAGTGAGTATATTAAAATAATATTTATAATAAAATAATTAAAATTGATTTGATGTAAAAGTAGGAGAGAGTGATTTGAAGTGATGGTTAGTTAAAATAATGTGAGTGGATGAATAGTGAATTAAGGTTGATGTGGTGTGTATGAATGATTGATTGATATTATTTAATTATATTGATAATTTTGATGATAGTGGAGTTGAGTTAAAAAAAGTGGTTGGGTTAAAATGTTGGAATTTCTTTGAAAAATGCCATAAACAAACATGCTCTTACTGTCTACTACTTATTCATTTTTATAATTGTTTGGGAGTATTAATATATATTTGATGAGATGATAAAGTTGGGTTCTCTCGAAATATCCAATAACTAAGCTCAAAGTAAAGTTTTCTCATTTTTAATTATTTGTTCTTTTTTTATTCTCCGTGGGAGTTTTTTAATTTGGTTTGTGTTGTGTTGTAGGTTAGACTCTAGGATGCCGTCTGTCTGTATGCGTATTCCTCTCTACTAGAGTCAGTTGTTCAGTTTATTCCGTCGATGACCGTATATTCGATCGAGTAGCTGGTTTCTAGTCTCGGTTCTGTTGTTAATATAAGTACTTTCTATCGTTTCGTTAAAATATATATATATATATATAAATATTTGTTCTTTTAATTATTTGGAGGTACAATAGCCAAAAATACAATCCGAAAAACTAATTTAAAAAATGTGGTCCATACCACCTTAGAGCATCTCCAATATGAAATGTAGTTGTAAGTAAATTACACTTTATATTAACAAATTTCGCAATGTCTCCGCTTTTAATCTTCAAGTGCACAATGTCACCTACAAATGTAATGATGGGATGGACATAATTAATGTATACAATGTAGATAATACAATAAATCTATAGAGCCATCGGATGACTCCCTTATTATCATTTTTATTTGGTTTATCCACATTCTCATTCACATTCTAGCCAACCAATTGAGTGATGAGAGAGAAATATTATTATCATTTTTAAAATATCTAATTATCTAATTTATTTGCTTTCTTATTTATAATTTTTTTTATTTTTTCTAAGTGGACAATATTATGTTTGATCACATTGCGCACTGGAGATAAATTTTTAGATTTTAAGTTGTAAACTTAACGATTATTTAATGTGGCTCACAATCCATCTAGATAATGACATTTGTCAAAGTTTATGTGATAACAACATTTGTCAATGTTGTAGATGACTTAATTTTGCCATGTGTCAATTAAATAAAGGTAATGTGAATCCACATCATATGGATGTTGAGTCCACAACATTTAAAATTTTAAGTGTTTCTCAATGGAGAAAATTACCTACTGTACTATTCCTTATAAAAATAATAGCAAAAATACGATTACTAAATATTTTTGTCAAGATTACGTACATGTCAAACAATTATAATTAATTAAGGAATGCAGGTAGTTATTTTAGGCCATCATTAACCGTTAATCGGGTCATTATATTTAATTAATGATATACACTCAATAAATCTCCTGCATGATTTTCGGATAACGTTCAATAACCAACTTATGCACTCAAAAAAAGAAAAGAAATAATCACTTCTCTCTCCATATATCGGTTTTAGTGTGTAGAGTAAATCTCTCACCAAAAAAAATTATTCTCTCATCTCTCATCTCCCATCTCTCCGAAAAAAAATCCATCTCTGCAAAATAATCAATAATGGCAAAGCGATGCAAAATTGAGGCAAACAATGAAGAAGAAGCAAGGATTACTCGCTCCAGCTCGTCACAAAACTCAATTTCAACATCCCGTGCGCAAGGTTGTTAAAAAAAAGCTACAATTTCAGAAAATGGATACTCCAAGCCGTTCCAAAATACCTAACCCGAAGATCGTCGAGGTTGAGTCGAACGACAACGATGATTTTGTGGATGAACATAAAATTAAAGAAAAAAGAAAACAAGGTGCTCGAACACACCAAAACGAAGAAGGTGCGAGAACATATAATTGTATTTATTTGGACATTTTAAAAAAAATATTATTATTATGTATCTGTTGTGAATATTATGAATTAACATTTTTTTTCTAATTTTTTTTGGGGTGAGCCCAAAATGTGTTGGGTTCGCTAGTACCGTACGGACTGTACGCAGCGGAATTTAAAATTTTTAAAGTAAGTATTTATCGTATAAATACAACACCCGTNTTATTCATAATATAATTCCAATAGACTGTATTTACAAGTAGAATACGTCCAATTAGATTGGAACGCTGGGTACCCTACTCTAACAAAATGTCCTCATATGTACATCATTTTGTTTTGGTTGTGTTTAAACTTTAAATTAACTGTTACAAAGCATGTGTTTGTGAATTTTTGTGGGGGTGTAAAAGTATATTAAGTAGATGTTCTGCTTTTATATTTATTTGGATTTAAATTAGAGTTCATATTTGTTTGTTATTGGTGTAAATTATATCGTCCAAATTCATTGAATTGTTGGTATATACAGGTTGAACATTCAACTGTTTTTGTGCATTGGGGTAAATTGTGTGTACTATTGTTATATAATTCTATAAGTAATTAGATTATTTTGTAATATGTATTTGGACTGAACTTAGACATAATATTATGTCATACTTTATTATTTTTTTTTTAAGTCGTCTCTTTCAGATCTATTTATTGTAGGACATACAGGATGATTTGTTCAACTGTTATTGCACTTTGGTGAAACATGTTTGCAATTTCGTTATCATGTTATATGTTTTAATGTTATAAGTATATCGCATTTTTTAGAAATGTTTATATGTTGTTTATCTCGGGTGAAAAATTGTTTATTTTCAGGAATATGTGTTCTCGAGAAGATTCGGAAGACGATGATTTTACAGAGGAATCGTCGAACCAGCTGCAGACTATGTTGAAAACAGTGAAG